CCCCTCCTACCCGACTTACCTGCACGCCCTCGCGGGCGGGGAGAACCACCGGTAGGAGTCGGCTGCCAGGCACGGCAAATTTCACACGGCTGCTCCAGAGAGCAAGACCGACAGCCAGGACAGTAAGGGTGGGGGTCGGAAGCCTCAAAAAAATGACCCCCAGGACAGCGCCTTTGAGAAGGAGGAGTCTCCATCTCAACGTAAACAAACCGTCAAAAACGCGAACACGTGGCCGGAGCCTGGTCGCAAAACGGCGCAAAATAAAGCAAAAAGCTTAATTAAAACAAAATAAAGTTAACTAGTTATAAAGGATACGTAAATGTATGGGTACAAACAACGCCTGTTGTAGTTGGAACCCGTAGACACCAAAACACGTCCGTAAACACGGCCGGCTGAAGGAATTATGAAGTGGGAAGCATGGCTTCGTGTCTTAAATCACGTGCGTGAATACTGCCGTCTGATTGGTGGGTTTCCCAGGGGTTCCCCATGGGGGGAAAAATTCTTTATTTACGTATGTAAAGAGCCAAGTAAGGTTGGAATATGCATTATAATGACTGTGGTAACGTATTTTGAAATAGAAGTTGAATGCTAGCTGTTAGCGCCAACATGACAGCCCCGGCTGTATGCTCTCTAGGAAGTTGAGAAATGTAATGGCTAGTTGCAAAGGCCCTATAACCACGAATAATGATTTGTGAACCGCTTTGAGACGACCTACGAACTAGGTTGTGATAAAGCGGTATATAAGAACCTCCAATTATTATATTATTATTATATGCCATCATTAACACAGACATTGCAGTAGATGAATAATAACCATAAATACATATTTAAAGGCAATTAATATGAATTGAATGAATACAAATATTACATTTTGATATACATGTACATGTAGATGCACATAGAATATACACTATTTATGTGTGCAAATAATGGATTCATTCTAGAACAAATTAACGTATGTGTTCCAGCTAGTTAATTTCAATCGAAGCCATAACGAAAAACAACAAAGTCTTACATAGAAACTCAAAATTGATGAAACAAGGGCAAGATTTGAACAAAGGACGACTCTTCTTGGAGATCCCCGAAATGTTCAGAACAGGGTAAAGTCTTGGCGGTGCCTGACATTGCTTCATTGTTCCTCAGAGTTCATGACAGACATTTGGCATATCTTTTATGAACGTCTTAAATGCTGCAACCAAGACTGTCAAATCTAAACTTCATTCACTATTTCAGTTGTCAAATTTGTGGTTCATTCTATTACCCATATCACGGGCTTCTATTCCCAGAGCTCGTGAGGGTAGCCAGTAGCAATGACCATATATGCCATTAAAACCTATTCTTAAGCAGTCCACATTGTTTGTTTGTTTTATTTGACTATTCGATAATGATATGTGAACAAAGTCGTACATAAGAAATTCGATGAAACAAGGACAAGATTTGAATAAAGGAGGAATCCACTAGGAGACCCCCGAAATGTTCAGAACTGGGTCAAGTCTTCTGCTTTATCGCGGAAACCCGCCATGTAAACCTAGGTTGAACTCTAATAATGTGACGTCCTCAAAACGAGAACCCGAACGAAGTAACAAATCCCACTTACGAGTATAATGAAAAAACTTCGACCTTCATATTGCAGAAGGATATATAATAATTTCGCAATACGATCATGATGGCGAAAAAAAAAACTTGTACATAGACTTCAACAACCAGCATATATGTTCATTTTATTGTTAAGTTTTCCGTTTGCATTCGACATCTGTCACGTAACACATGATATTCAGATTAAGCCCTTGAACATCGAATCTATTGCGACGGTTCATTTTCATGTTCTAAGTTAAGATCGAGGAAAGAAGTTCAAGTAAGAGACTGGTGTCCTAAATTTCAAGTTCAGAAATTCAGCAGTCATCCTCTTTCTTAGGTATGCAGTTAGTTAGATTATCTAATTAAGTCATCGTTTTTGAAAATATCTACATGTACCTTTACTTGACAACTCAAATATCTGTGTTAGACCGGCTTTCAATCTTTATGATTTTGTTGTTGTCTATGAATTTGAGCATGTGTAATATATGTTGATTTAGAGCCAGATAGGCTACTAGATATGAGCACTACTTTCAGCTTAGATAAAAAAATGTAATTCAATTCAACTTGGAATCAATCTATTTAGTATTGCTTCATCAATTTGTTAACAACCCTAGTTATTACGCGCCCGGAAAATACACATAAGGTCATAAACCGGAGGCGAACCAAGTTCCATGAAAAGGTAATCATTTGGGTTTTTTGCACTGTATGTGGGATTAGTCATAGTATTTTGCTTCATCAATTGTAGATCGGCTTTTTACATGAGTATACCTGCTGGTAACTTAATGTCTGGAATTGAGAAAATAATAAAAAACATAATGTTACCCTGAAGGTCGGGAATCGAGAAAAGGTCTGGGAAAGAAAATACGTCATGTTGAAAGAGACAAGTAACGTGGCAACCTTTGGCAGAATTATGGATTTGCTTTTATGCTCTCTATATAAAGACAAAAAGGCGACCAAAGTTTATCTGCTACACCCATTGCAATGCTTTTCATCTGGGGGTTTTCCCTCTTCTTTCCAGCAACATATTAGTTTCCTAGCGCCTCTCTTAGCAATGCCTAATTTTTGGCCTGATTGTTTGTTGAATCTTTGCCAAAGTGGGGAAGGCAACGTTTACCGTCTCCAGGGACGGACATACCTAAGTCCTTAAATATGGAAGTTATTATTACATGTACCTACTTAACGATCAGCATGTAGGGTAATGGCAAACACCGGTAAGCCCGTTGTCAGCATGATGTTACGAGGCAAAATACTTCACTAAATGCTTCGACATGGAGTTTAGTGAGGTTGCGCTATAAAGTCGGCATAATATCCGCGTTATCGCAAGATAATACATCAACACACAAATTTCAGCTTTCGTCAACAAATTCACACATATATAACAAACATACACGCATTTCTTTCTGCTTTTAACTGCCTTTAATGTCGTAGTACCTTGCTTTGCAATTTCTTACTTTTGGACTTACTGTTGAACGTTCGCCAAGTAGAGAAAGGTAATGGGCTCTGTCCCCGGGTCGTGACATACAATGTACCAAAGTCCTTCAAATGATAGTTGTTATCCCCTTCTTAACGTTCAGCATTTAGGGTCAAGCTGTGCTGGTTATCTACGGCGCGATATTTCAGTGAGATAGCACTATAAAGTGGGCATCGGATCAGCGCCATCACAAGGAGGCAAGTACTTCAACTCCAGCACACATACACACATGCACACTTACACAACACACACGGGCACGTCCTTAAATGACCTTAGCTGTTAAAAGGACGTTTAACAAAATAAAACCAAAACCAATCCTGGCAGATTATTGTAGGATTCATCCTTTGTAATACCCTTTTGCAAACTAGGTCATGTCATCAGTTTTCTTGGAAGCATTTTTTACTCCCTCCGAATCGGAAAGGAATATGGTCAAAAAGTATCTAGCTCTTTATGAAATATACTGGTCAAATCTTCGGCTCTCACATTTTGACCCTAGTCACATGGAAATATATTGGATTCCTAAAAAGATTTTACAACCTGCTTTTTTCCAGCTGTAAATAAAAACGCAATTGTCATGTTATTGCACTCAACACTTGTTCTCTTGTCCAGGATCGGAGAAAGTATAGATTTGCCGTCATTTGTCTGTTGTTGCCTGCACAGGTGTAGTGTCGTCTGAGAGTGTTGGTTCGCTTTATCATGATCTGTAGAAATGTTTATATATGGAGGCGGAATAAATAGGGGATTTTGACAAAATGACAATTCAAAAATTCCTGTTATCAAATATGGGCATCTGTACCTACACAGACACACATTTTAACTGAAAGAAACGATCCGCTTCATATGACTAGACAGTTTTAATTAATACTTTATTGACTTATAGAAGATGTACAGTATTTTATATGCTGGATGTTTTTTTCTCTCAATACCATTAGTTTTATTCATTTGTATATGGAATAGTTTATTTAAAGCTATTTTATCATATAGGCCAAACGTAAGCTATAACTACAGATTTCGTTGTATACTTTTTCTGGTGATGGCCTTATGTGCAACCTAGCACGAAGAGTACTAATTATGTATACCTTGCAGGGATACTGGGTCCACTTCAGTTTGATGTGCTATGAAGTGAAAGTAACATTACGGATGTCTCGCGATCGGTTGCCGTGATCGCTAACGATCATTATTACTACTGCGTGCAATCAAGCTTGAGCTTGACTTCGAATTCAGACCACTCACTCTCCCAAGAATGTCGGTTCGATATCCAGCGGTGGTGGAAAAAGAGAGTGATGTCCGATAGCTAGGGTTAAATTAGTTGTTATCCCTCCGATGGTACGGTGGTTTTCCTCCGTGGGTTTTCCTTCATCCCGAAAACAACATTTAATCCGGATCCATTAGCGTCGTCGTAATAAAAAGCTATACCGATCGCGAGCTTTTGTTTGTTGTTGACAATGTTCACGACGTTAGATACAGTTTATTTGCATTAACATGTACATTTACAACAATGGAAATACTTACATAAAATTATAACCATTCAATACAAATAAAACAAACCAATATCGTAATACTATTTCTACATGTTTTGTTTTATTACTATGAATGATACATATCATGAAGATATACATGCTATGATTATATAAATCTCACACTTGTCCTTATTAACATGCTTTTAGCCACATACCTTTAAATTCGTGTTTGCAATACGTTCAAAGAAACAATAATAACTCAATAAAAGAAAGGAGTAACATCAAACCAATGAAAATACTTTGTTAGATATATATGTCTCTTATGCAACATATTTCATCACTATTGACAGTTATATAACATCTACAACCCGTTTCTTTAGGTTAATCATCTATAGGAATAAAACAAATATGCAGCAAAACAAAAATAAACTTTTTTCAGGGTTTTCTACAATGTATTGATTATATTTTTCTTTTTTGATTTGCAAAAAGAGTCCACCACACGTTGAAATATTTTCTACCAGTATTAGTGTCAGGCAAATATTAAGATATATTTTAATAATTTGATAACTTACTCAGTGACAGACTGTGTTCATATGTACGGTGTATCACAGTTTCAAAGTGTTTTTGTAATATTTTCTCCATCTCTTGAGACAAAACTACTTCAACAGAGATTTAAGTGCTTTGCCAGGGAAAGGTCATGAATTTATCTTTAATCTTACCATTCCAACGTAAATACTAGTACTTGAAACCTTGAAAGACTTCCCCCCTATTTCGAATATATAATATCTAAACCTCTACTGTTTTGTAATGTCCCTCCAATTAATCACCTTCAGCCTGGGATACATCTCTTCTTCCTGTACTTGAATTGTATCTTTCTACCTACAAGTGTACAACAGGTGAACGGACACCAAGATCACCTCAAACCCCTACTTTACATAATTTAACAGATGTTTAGCAGATCCTTTATACATTATGTACTTAATGCTACTTAAATAATTTCAGTGCCTAAAAACAGAAGAAATAAAAATCCAATTGAGATAAAAAATAACTTTGTATAGCGAATAAAAACCATTTACTCAACCAATAGTTGATGTGTTTAAAATTGATTAATTAATTTGATATTTATACAAAATAAATAGTTGTTCCCTATGACATAATATACATACATCATTCAGTCAAAACACATTACCTTCCCTGTAAAACTACACCGACGAGACACGAATGAAGAAAACTTTTCTTTTAATTTTCTTGTGGATGACAATTTCGAAGTTTCCCTGTCACAAACAGCAAAAAATATCCAGGAATTTAAATTTGCATTCATCAAACATAGTACTGTTTATATAGCATAAAGGTATCTCAACCTATGACCGTGTGTCAATGTCAGAAATGATACCTTGAGTAATGTTACAGTACATTTCATGGCGGCTGTTTTTACTGTTTTACAGTTTCTGGTTCGTCAATGTAATCATTTTCTTCTGGTGGGTTGTTGAAAACTCCTGGGAAGAAGTACAGTCTTTTGTGCAGAGTGGTGCGAATCTCCGATACTTGAACATTTTGAGTTGATACATATCTATTGACCTGTAAATATATGAAACGATGATTGACCTTTTTCATTTCACAATTAGGTAAGGTGTATTTTTAACTGACACTTTCGGAACCCATCGGATTCCTTTCTCAATCTCCATTGATGAACTGTGACAAAATTCCTATCCTAGAAATAACCGAATTGGGACTGGTCCTAACATGAATCAAGCTATATCCCTGATCTGTTTGATGAACGATGTATATGACATCTCTGATTTACCGTCCTCTTTGTCCCCAAATATATGCATGGTTCTTCGGTACAGCATATGGTCTTCGACAGCATATTTAAAAAATTCCTTTATTCAAACGTACAGTTGTTCCTGATTAAAACATTACATCGCTTGCGACCTTCTGCTAGTGCGTAATAAAACTTAAGTAAAAGATCACTAGGCACAAGAAGAACACCTATTGGACACTTTCACGAGTACCTAGTTGTTACACGATCAAAGTGTAGGGTTTCAAAGTAATAGATAATCACTAAGAAAATATTGGTCATGGAAATAATAGCATAATAATGACAGTGTAAAACTTCTGAGATACAAAAAAAACACCCTTCAATCATGATCTTGTCTAAGTCATAATTTCTTTAAAAATATATGCAAATTAACAAAACAATATTCTAATGTAAAGTTCTGCAATATTTCATAAGAATTCAAGTAAGTTTTACCATTTAATTAAACAATGTTTTTCCAAAAGTGTTTAAAAGACCATAGATGGGCTTTGAAGATAAAAGTTTAGGTTGACGGGCAAAATGTCCAGATATTCAACAGACGATTGAGACAGAGGACGGCGGATCAAAGAGGCCATATTAGCACAAACAATCATCAGTGCAATACTTGTTTTACTAGGAAAAGATTAACATATCATTATCTACATAGAAAAAAAGACACATAACTACACTATCATTCTGGAATCATTAATTTTACATCGCATCATCACTTCACGCAGCTACCCCAGTTTCCTCTGGCTCGACACCAGACTTGCAACTATCTGTCAAAATGTCTTTAAGTATGGTGTAAGGGCCAGAGGAAACTCGTGCTATTCACACAGCGTGTACAAATCTGTATAATCAAACTGTAAAACATAGTGCTAGTCACTGAAAAATATACGATGAAAAGACTTGTCAATCAAACACTAAGTTTGTATTTGCAAACAACATATTTGTAAATATGCATCAAACAACTAATTTGATGGGATTTGCTTCATCGACTATACCGACACACATGAATCTAGGTCAAATCCAAGTAATGTCATATGTTCCCCATCGAAAAAGCATGTAGTAATTACAAAACCACAAGACAATATTGAGCATAATAAAAAGCTATGATTACATCACACAAAGAAAAAGCATATTTCTCAATGTGATTTTAATGGCGACCATAAAGCTTGTCCATAGTCTCCATGGAAACCCAGAGTTGTAAGTGTGTCTGTTAGTAAGTCAAACATCTATCACGAAAGTCATGTCATTTGGATCAAGATTTTGAATACAAAATCAATTGCAACATGCATACACTGTGTTTTGAATAAGTCAGAACAAATTCAGCTTCATATAAAAACAGAAAACAAATCTGCCAGAAGAGGAACACAATTTGTTCCATTGAAATGCCTAGTCTGCTGGAATGTCTTGCCACGGAATTCAAGAAAAACATTGTCAGCCAGAAACTCAGGAATTCTCACAATTTCTTCCTCAGTATCTTCCATTTAAGCCTCTGTTGTCCTTTTTTCACAAAATATCCTCCAAAATAGTTTATAACAATATGTTTATATCATTGTTTGTTTTTCTTGGAAAGAAAACTCTTAAAATAAGAGAACAGAGGCAACTAGTCGTTCAGTTTGGTATGTGGTATGGTTGTGTAAAGGGTAAAAAAATCAAAAGGTTTGATAGCGGAAACTTTGCTTTGGAAGAGGATGTCAAAGATTTTCTGAAAAATCTTTTCAATTCTTACAGTATACACAAGTAAATTGGTATATTCTAGTCTTTGAAGCAAGCTTGTGTATTATACTGAAAAATAAAACTCACTCAGGTGGTAATAATATAAGACTCATGCCCAGGGGTGTAGGATAGGGAAATTCCACCGAGTGGTTTTCAAATTTGGTAAGATCCGATGCTAAGTAAATTGCCAAGGGTTTTGCCAAGTTTGAAAATCCCTAGAGTGGACTTTTCCTATCCTACACCCTTGGGCATGAAATAGTACTTTTTCTCATTCCAACTACCAGAATAAGCTCAGAAACCATTAAAATTCTTTTGGACTGGCTACTATTTCAAAATATCGATCCCCTCCCCTGATCTTTTTAGACGAGAACGAATCTGTTGGCCAGTTTTGCATACCCCACATTATATTAGCAAAACAAGTTTGCGCAGAAAAAATAATCTCATCTTTCAAACATGTACGGTAAATATATATCGTAATAGGTTTTAATGTCAGCACAATGCTTTTTCCCCATTGTGGCATCAGAGTTTTCCAAATCGTGACATCATTTCATTGTTGACCCATTGTGACGTCACGTCACATGAAATGGGGTGTAGGATAGAAATTTCCTACACCCCATTCCTACCTTGGACAGCTCTAACTTACACACAGGCAAATGAGAGAAATCATGATCAGTCACCCCTCATTGGTTATCATATACTTAAGCATTGAACTGTTTGTGTATGGTATTTATGATCTATTTGAATGACACTAGCGCGCATTATGATTTGTTTGCTTGCAAAGCTGTGTCATTCAAATAGATCATAAATACCATACAAAAACAGTTCAATACTTATATTTACGTTTTCTCTGCCTTTTATGTTCTTTTTTAACTTATAATTCATAATTAAAATTAAAAATGCCCGCCTTATCGACAGTCCAGACAATTTCGTTCAATAGTTTGAACAGCGTATTGTCGCGTGCTGATTGGCAAACAAAGTAGTACTTTGACATTTTAACAAACACTTCAAATTTATTTCACAATTTAGTATCAATACGATTGCGTATGATATGTCTATAGGGTGATTCCAGTTTTTCAATAGAAATCTGAGCTGAAAGTTAGACTGATTTGAAATTGTTTCGATTTCCCCCCGGAACAAATTTCCCCGCATGGATAAATACAGTGAATACCCTGAATGGGACCTTGACCTCCACGAGGGAGTTATTTTTGAAAGTTAATTCGAACTTTTTTCTTTGCTCATTTTGTGAAGAATCCAGGCTTGAATGTATTTGTTGATTGTATGGGAACCCGGCAACAGCCGGTAGAATCTATAACAGCATCGTTATTCGATATGTCGTCTGAAACTGAGGAACCGTGGATCCGAGACGCGTGAAACTGATAGCGTTTGAAGTGAGTGATCTTGCGACGGAGCAAAGGTTCGTTACAAATGTCTGAAATGAGGAATGTTTATGTGTGCTGTGACTCATATCAGTAGGTCTGTAACATATGTGTCAGTAGGTCTATAGAATATGTGTATTTCAGACATTTATAACGAACCACTGTTGATCAATGCAGTGTAACAGACGATATTTCTGATAAATTGCATGAGCGTTAAAATTGTTGATTGGTGATTTCAACCGATGTGCATTTTGTACGATATTGCAGACCTTGGTCTTGTTTTCGTTGTAATAAAAGTGTTTTTTATTTTATTTTTTATTTTGCACATAAATTTACAATGACATTATGAAATCTCACAATGCCCAGCGATATTTCAGCAGCCGTTATGTTTATTTACATTGGATATTGTAGTTCCGGTCAGTGTTGTAATTGATACGCTAAGAATTGTGTCTCGTGCGGCATGGTAATTAAAGTCCCATCAACGACACACCTTTCAAAGAGGCTATATAGTGACAATGCCATGCAAATGTAAATATATATCAATCAAACTACAGGAACCTCAAACAGAGACACTTGACACTACATACAAACCTCTGTCATCAGGTCCTGCAAATGGGCTTTGTTAGCATTGTACTTCAGTACCCAGACAATCGCTTGGATGAACCAGCTGCCTCTTTTTTCATTTCTGTAGGACCGGTATCCTGCAATTGATTTAGAGGTTAGTTGTTTCTGAGGTCAGTATCCTTCAGTAAAGCAAGATGTACCTAACCCAATGTTAGTTGAGTTAATGCTCTAACAAAAAAAAACAATACACAATACTACATAAGAATGTATGAAATAAACTCATTCAGCCCTGAAATTTCATAATGAACTATTCCAACCTTTGAATTGGAAGAGTTCAAATGTGTCTTCAGGGGTAAATGAGTTCAAGGCAAATGCTCTGTTTTTTTTTAAAAACATTTGTGTCCATCCATAAAGTATACAACCTTATCTTAATAAAGATTCATATATTCACATAACTACTGTTGCCATTCCAGTGATCAAAACAAACTACACTTCTGTTCACATTATTTGTATGTTGTAAAAGGTGACAAGGGGTGCCCTGTGAAATCTCTAGTCAGATATGAGAAGATACTGGCCCCTGTATGCCAATAACTTTTCTCCAAGTAAGGAAGCCTCCCAAGATGTCTGGACATTACTTTGATATTGCTATAATGGGACACAACAAAATTCATGGATCACGGCAATATGCTCATTTGCTCTGCATCTTTCCACTGCAATGCATTGAGGAGGCAAATGTCGTTATGAGACCATAACAACATTTGCTATTGTAACGTCATCATTTTTATTGTTGTCAACACTTAGTTTGCTGTTCAAACAACTGTTCGAAGTGACTAAATAATGCATAACTACTCTATCAAAATGTAAATATAAATAATGAATATTTTAGCAAATATTGTTATGTTCCTATAACACACATTTCTATTGCTGACAATTAACTTACATAAAACCTCCGGGCTTTACTAAGTTTGGCATCAATAGCAAAGTGTGTTATAGGACCATAACAACATTTTCTAAAACATTCATAGATTAATTGGAGCACAAAACGTCAATTCACACAAATCATAGATTACTTATAGTGAATTCACAGAGTTTAGTGATTTCAATTCAGACAACTGTGTATTGCATCCTCTGTCTATTCAAAAAAAGAGAGAAACATTCTAATGGTTGACTTTGATGATAATGATGAATTAAGTAACATTACTGATACCAACAGTTTGGTTTTAGGTGGCGATCTTCCTAAAGATCATGGCAAATACAATTAACTACAACATTTCCCCAGCTAGTATGTAGAATCACTATGTCCCTAAGATTGGGATTATCAGAACTATAAACAAAGAACAAAAAGGTCTTTTTTAATACTTTTCATTATTGAAGGAATCATCTATTATTTATATTTCCTACTTACTGATATACAAAGGTACTTATTTTGTTACTTTCACATTGGTTCATTCAGCTGTCCGATTGGTTTGGTTTCTTTGTGTTTTACGTCCTATTTACAGCTATGGTCTTTAACTCCTTCACCCCTGAAATTTTATAATGAACTATTCCTTGAATTGGAAGAGTTCAAATGTGTCTTCAGGGGTGTATGAGTTAAGGACATGCCATGTTTTGGGGGTGGATGCGTGATTAAAGAAAGAAGAACAGACCTAGTCAGTACGTATACCTGGCCATGCAGACTGCCCCACAATGGCCCATATAGGGTTCAAACCCCCACAACCAATTGGCGGAGGGTTAGTGACCATATACGGTCAGACGCTTTAACCACTTGGCCACCAGAGCCCCTACAGCCGTCAGATAAACAGTTGTTTTGTAAATATATGTTTTAAGCGTTTGTTGTATTTTAAGTTATCTTTAAATGCATAAAAAAATATTGCACTGGCTAACGTAGTCTTGAGATTTAAATTCAACGTCTCCTTCTTTGGCCTTCCTAGCCAAGCTGTATGATTTGGTGTCTGTAATAAAATTTGTCAGAAAAATGGCATCAACATAATCCGATGTAGAACTGCAGGGTTTTAATAATATTGTTTAAGCTCACGATTCCTCAGTTATGGACTTCTGTCTAGCCTAGTAGGTGAAACTTCAGTAAATCTGTTTCATTTTCTGGTTCATATCACATCATTCTGATACTCAGGTTGTATCGCACATGTTTGAAATAAAATGTTCAATATGGATGTATATGACCACATTTTTTCGCACCTCAGACAGAGAAATCCAACGGCATACCCCATGCTAGACTTTTCTGTCTCGTCTGATCTGTCTGGTACCTTTAAGTGACATTTCGCGGAATTTTCACATTGCGATGTATTCATCCCCACGTTAACCGCTTGAAACTGACAATCCGCTTTATAAATATTCTGTTTTGTTGTTATATGTATTGTTTTGATGTTGTTAGATATCTGATGTTGTAGATAAAATGTAGCTACATTGTGAAATACTTTGTCTTCCTTGTATGGATGGACTCGTTTTTACGCGGAAGCATTCAATTGTAGCTTTAGTAGTGAAGAGGCCATTTTCATTTGAGGCTCCAGATGGGATACTTGTAGTCTTTACGTAAATTGAATTATTATTTTCGAAATAAAAGGTGCGAGAAAAAAATCAATTACCTGTACCTGACAAGATTTGGTTATGTCAGTCGAGGGCTCAGATTCCGTAACATAATCCCAACCGAGGCAAAAGCCGAGGTTGGGATGTTACATAATCTTAGCCCGAGACTGAGATAACCCCGATCTTGCTCAGTTACTGTATACAGGAAATAGATTTTATTAATCTATATGGCAGGGACTGAAATAAAGACCTGTATCACTACATTGAAATGTAATTCTGTTGAACACTGATTCAAAAACAACATACAGTCAAACTGTATTTACCTTCAGGTGTTGCATAGGCAAATAAGAAATCAGAAGCGATATGGCTGCTTTTTTTAATCTGTTTGTTTGGTCCTCCATCAACACCACTGTCAGCCTGTATCCGGTCAGTGTCATTTGGCAGATTTTCAAATGCCTTCGATACATCATCATCATCATCATCATCATCATTATCTTGACATGATGCTTCAGATCCTTCACTTGTTTCCATGCAGTCGGGCCTGACATTTCCTGATTCGTTGAGTTCATTGTTTATTTCACTTGAGGATCCTGAAAGCAAGCATATTCCAGATTAGGGAAACTAAACTCATTAAGCTTTTGTAGAGTTGTTCGATTGATTTTTTTAAAACAGTGTATTAGAAATAGCCAAGATGCATGTGAAATCTATATAATCCTCTATTAATGTCTGTAAGTCCAACATATATACAAACATTCAAATCATACAAAACATCATCCTCGATACTCTAGGGGCTATATATGATGGATATTCCTATCAAAAGTTACCTGTGGAGGTATTTATGTCACTAGCCTAGGTCAGCAGGAAGATAATTATTATAAGGTAATAAAATCATCAAACAATATTGATATGGTTCAGATTTGACCAGAACGAAATGTTGTCCCTGAGGCGTATTACAGGTAGACATTTATAGTTATCAGTTGAAATCAATTATTATTTCTTTGAACCAAGTGGTCTATAACATATACTGAAACAGTTAAAATGAAAATATACATCGTTTAAAATGTTCCAAAAGATAATAAAGATCCGTTTGAATTTTTCCCTATTTTCACAATTTCACACCTAACATATGTCATATAGCAAAATTGAAGGCATGTTGGTAGCTATTTGATTGGTCTCAGCTAAAAAGAAACCCTGACCAATCACTAGGCTGATACTTCTCCTTTGAAGATTACACTCAGGAGCGACACCCGACTTCAAAGCCAGTCAATTTTACCGTGACTGACAGATTCTTTTGATGTACCACATCAAAGGATCAAATTTAGTTTTCTCCTCTCACCAGTAAGGTGAAGCATGCTGAGCCGTCGATTTTGCCATGACAATTTCCAGGGGTGCTGAGAGCGAAAGTGAGTGTAACCTCTGGAGTATTAAGGATGAGAAAACATATGCTAGCATTACATGCTACTTATAATGTTATCTGGATATGTATCGCCTTGCGCTTTCAAAAAGAGTTCCCAAGCTGTCAATTAACTGTCATGGATGTTTGTTTGTTTGTTTGTTTATGTTTAACGGCCCATCGACGGCTGTGGTCATTTAGGGCCATGGTGATTTATTTATTTATTTTATTATTCTAACAAACATGTGAGTAGCGAAGGGATGTACATTTGGTAAAATAAAACAAAGATAATATATAATAATTTGTCAAGAAATCACCTTAAAGTCTTAAACCAATGTAATTCAAGAAAGATATAAATTTTACAGATTTAAAAATAAATTCATGAAATTATTTTTGCATCATTTTAGTCAGAGCTTAATTTCAGTTAATATGAGTAACAAAAATGAAAGAAGTTTATAATCATGTAAAAGCTTTGTCATTTCCAGATAGTTACAGGTAGAATAATTAATTATGTTTACTGGTATTAGAAAGATATTTTGTTTGGTATATTTGGTATATTAATGCTTATACATAAACATATATACATGTATATATACATAGATAAAATAACTGAAAATATAGACCAAAGATCTGCAGATAAAGAAGATCAACCACATAAAATGAGATTTGAAAAAAAATGGAAAAATAAACCAAAAAATTAGAACATTACCATAATTGAAATGAAATCTGTATAACAAATTGATTAGCAACTGAATCAACTCTACACATAAACATTTCCATTAATTGAAAACTTACTGCAAGCTTGAAATAGGAATATCTTTGGTTTCCCAGTCAATTTGGGACAGTTTTCATTATTGAAATTTTTCACAATGTTGTCAACATGGACGACGTTCCCATCGGTACCGTATATTCCTGAGGTACAACCATGACTGAGCACTACGAACACGAAACAGTCGCTCTCCTCATGGTGTTGCCAGGTACTGCTCTCCTCTGCAATTTTCAGCATATCCTTCAAACAGAGAACATTAGACGTTTATAACTCTGAGTCTGACTCTCAAACACGCAACATCAATACTTTCAGGCCCATAACCACAAAAACAAATAACTACAAATTCTAATTCTTTCCTAGATCAGTTACAACATGGAATCTTCTACCCAAAAACCTGTTGATCTGCACATCTTTAGAACAGTTTGGGGGGGGGGGGGGGGGGGGGGGGAGGGGGGGGCTTATCTCCCCTTACCATGTCATCATACGAATTGTGATTGTTTTAACTTGTAAATAGTGCCATTGTGGTTTTTATCTGACCTAGTCTGGTCATGCACACACAGATTCGTCATCATTCCACATCAGGAATTTGAATCTTAACGGGAAGAAGAAGAAGATAACAAATCTTAATCACTGTACAGTAAAACCTCTTTACACTGCCGCCGATTTTCCAGCACTTTTTTTATTATAAAGATATTTGGTGATACATCTCGGGCGATGTACAGTTAGCCGGACGCCCGAACATATTGCTTAATTGATGTCCAGGTGTTTCACACAGATAACTTGCCTGAGTTTTTACCTTATAAAACCTATTCACGACAGAAAAAAATCATCATGATAAGCAGGGTACCAACTTTGAACATTTAAGCATTGAACTGTTTTTGTATGGTATTTATGATCTATTTGAAAAAGCTGTGTCATTCAAATAGATCATAAATACCATACAAAAACAGTTCAATACTTATATTTACGTTTTCTCTGCCTCTTATGTTATTTTTTAACTTATAATTTATATTTAAAATTAAAATGCCCGCCTTATCGACAGTCCACACAATTTCGTTCAATAGTTTGAACAGCGTATTGCATTGTCGCGTGCTGATTGGCAAACAACGTAGTACTTTGAAATTTTAACAAACACTTCAATTTTATTCCACAATTCAGTATCAATACAATTGCATATGATATGTATTGAGGATGATTTAAGTTTATCAATAGAACTCTGAGCTGAAAGTTAGATTTGAAATTGTTTCGATTTTTCCCCGGAACAAATTTCGCGCTTGGACAAATACAGTGAACACCGTAAATCCGAGCTTGCCCTCCATGAGGGAGTTATTTTTGGAAGTTTATTCAGACTTTTCTCTTTGCTCATTTTGTGAAGAATTCAGGCGTGAATTTATTTGTTGATTGTATGGGAACCTGACAACAGTCGGTAGATTCTATAACAGACTCGTTATTTGACATGTCGTCAGAAGCTGAGGAATGGTGGATGCAAGACGCGTGAAACTGATAGCGTTTGAAGTGAGTGATCTTGCGATGGAGCACAGGTTCGTTACAAATGTCTGAAATGTTTATGTGTGCTGTGACTCAAATTGCATGAGCGTTAAAATTGTTTCCATTGCCGGCATTGGTGATTTCATCCGATGTGCATTTTGTACGATATTGCAGACCTTGGTCTTGTTTTCGTTGTAATAAAAGTGTTTTTTATTTTATTTTTTATTTTGCACATAAATTTACAATGGCATTGTCAAATCTCACAATGCCCAGTGATATTTCAGCAGCCGTCATGTTTATTTATATTGGATATTGTAGTTCCGGTCAGTGTTGTATTAATACGCTAAGAATTATGTCTCGTGATGCATGGTAATTAAAGTCCCATCAACAACACAGCTTTCAAAGAGGCTATATAGTGACAATGCCATGCAAATGTAAATATATAATGATAAACAATTTGATTTTGCTTAGTTAAAGAAGGAAAAAATCGGTACATTGGAAAAATATCATAATAAGTGATATATCATAACAAAAGATCCCAGAGCGATCTTAGCGCCCACCTTTGTACCATCTTCATTAGTTTTTTGTCAGTTCGATCTTTTTTCTTCTCTCCTCTAATCTGTTTGATCGAGTCATGTTAACAGTAAATGCACCTTGAGGTAACTTTTGATCTAAACTTAATACTGATGTGTATGAAAGCCAACCTTCAAAGTGAGTTTGTCATTTCACATATTTACTAGTACAGTAAACTTAAATTAAGTGAAAGAAATAGAATCGGTCATTGCAATATGAGAAAGATCTGTTAAGTTCTTCTTTCAATCCATTTTGTTTTTATGATCAGTCTCAAAATATAACATGCACAATGGGAGATCAAGGGGAACCTACATATAAAATTTGAGAAAGTTCCCTCTAGTTCTTCCGGAGAAATAGCGGCAACAAACCTACAAAATCAAAATCAAAGATGGCTGCCTGTCGGCCATGTTGTTTATCTGATCTGTCTCAAAAGTGTCCCTGCACAGCTAAGGACCAAGGGGAACCTACATATAAAATTTGAGAAAGTTCCCTCTAGTTCTTCCGGAGAAATAGCGGCAACAAACCTACAAAATCAAAATCAAAGATGGCTGCCTGTCGGCCATGGTACAGTAAACTTAAATTAAGTGAAAGAAATAGAATCGGTCATTGCAATATGAGAAAGGTCTGTTAAGTTCTTCTTTCAATCCATTTTGTTTTTATGATCAGTCTCAAAATATAACATGCACAATGGGAGCTCAAGGGGAACCTACACATAAAATTTGAGAAAGATCCCTCCCGTACTTCCCGAGAAATAGCGATAACAAACTTTATATATCAAAATCAAAGATGGCTGCCTGTCGGCCAGGGTGTTTATCCGATCAGTCTCAAAAGTTTCCCTGCACCGCTAGGACCATGGGGAACCTACATATAAAATTTGAGAAAGATCCCTCTGATACTTCCCGAGAAATAGCGATAACAACCTTTATATATAAAAATCAAAGATGGCTGCCTGTCGGCCATGGTGTTTATCCGATCAGTCTCAAAAGTTTCCCTGCACCGCTAGGACCATGGGGAACCTACATATAAAATCTGAGAAAGATCCCTCTGATACTTCCCGAGAAATAGCGATAACAACCTTTATATATAAAAATCAAAGATGGCTGCCTGTCGGCCATGGTACAGTAAACTTAAATTAAGTGAAAGAAATAGAATCGGTCATTGCAATATGAGAAAGGTCTGTTAAGTTCTTCTTTCAATCCATTTTGTTTTTATGATCAGTCTCAAAATATAACATGCACAATGGGAGATCAAGGGGAACCTACATATAAAATTTGAGAAAGATCCCTCCCGTACTTCCCGAGAAATAGCGATAACAAACTTTCACTATGAAAATCAAAGGTGGCTGCCTGTCGTCCATGTTGTTTATACGACCAGTCTCTAAAATTGCCCTGCACAGCTAGGACCAAGGGGAACCTACATATAAAATTTAAGAAAGATCCCTCTGATACTTCCCGAGAAATAGCGATAACAAACTTTATATATCAAAATAAAAGATGGCTGCCTGTCGGCCATGTTGTTTATACGACCAGTCTCTAAAATTGCCCTGCACAGCTAGGACCAAGGGGAACCTACATATAAAATTTGAGTAAGATCCCTCTTGTCCTTCTTGAGAAATAGCGATAACAAGAATTGTTTAAAGACGGACGAACGACAGACGACGGACCACGGACGCAGGGTGACTTGAATAGCCCACCATCAGATGATGGTGGGCTAATAACCAATATCATAATCTTGAGGTAACTTTCGATCTAAACTTAATACTGATGTGTATGAAAGCCAACCTTCAAAGTGAGTTTGTCATTTCACATATTTACTAGTACAGTAAACTTAAATTAAGTGAAAGAAATAGAATCGGTCATTGCAATATGAGAAAGGTCTGTTAAGTTCTTCTTTCAATCCATTTTGTTTTTATGATCAGTCTCAAAATATAACATGCACAATGGGAGCTCAAGGGGAACCTACACATAAAATTTGAGAAAGATCCCTCCCGTACTTCCCGAGAAATAGCGATAACAAACTTTCAATATCAAAGTCCAAGATGGCTGCCTGTCGGCCATGTTGTTTATACGACCAGTCTCTAAAATTGCCCTGCACAGCTAGGACCAAGGGGAACCTACATATAAAATTTGAGAAAGATCCCTCTTGTCCTTCTTGAGAAATAGCGATAACAAGAATTGTTTAAAGACGGACGAAGGACAGACGACGGACCACGGACGCAGGGTGATTTGAATAGCCCACCATCAGATGATGGTGGGCTAATAACCAATATCATAATAAGTGGGTTCCAATGTAATGTATATTGAGGAATTAAAGTGCTAATAAAATAATTACAAGGAGAAATCAGATTTCATATAAGGAGAAACAGACAGCATTTAAAGAAAAGAGATGGTGCTATTGGCAAATGTGCAATTCTTCGATAAGCAAACTTGGTAGTACACGTGATCCCCTAGACACCTAAATGTACATTACGCAGATGTCAAACATAGGATGAACAGCTATGCAGTACCACTAAGGTATTGTTTCAGAATCACTTAAAAACACAATGAAATTTAAATTTAAAGCATGAAAATTCTCAAAGAGGGACATTAATCCTAACTGAAGTGTCATATACTGCAAATATGTGATTTAAACGTTCCCAGTGTTCTTATATACCGCTTTATCACAACCTATTTCGTAGGTCGTCTGAAAGCAGTTCACAAATTATTATACCTGGTTATAGGGCCTTTAATGCAACCAGTCAATGTCTTTCTCAACTCCCTGGGGAGCATATACAGCCGGTGCTGCCATTTTGGTGCTCACAGCTAGCATTCTACAATTCTAGCACTGCCCAACCACATACTCATTTACAGCTGAGTAGATTGGAACAAGCGGATTAAAGTATCTTGCTCAAAGATACAACACAGTGCCGGGTCGTGACTCGAACCTGCAACCCTTCCGTCACGAGCCTGGCGTCCTACCACTAGACTACCGTGCCTCCCAAAGATCCAGTATTTTCACGAGAAATCTGCCATATTAACTTCTATTTTACTTACCGCACTTGTCACATTGTTGTAGATCCTGACAGTGAAGTGAAGTTGACTGAGGACACGAGACAGTTTGTTCCGATCTAGGTCGGTGCCTGTTCTCTCTGACCTATTAGCCTTCCCAAATGGACCAAATATTTTATTGTTGATGATGACAGCAAGTCCCCTTCTTTTTGCTGTCATAGTGTAAACCTAACAAAAACAACAAGAGTAACATGAGGCGGAACAATATACGCCCGTCGAATGGCATATAGTGTTATATACATAAATGTACTTTCTTACATTGAAATAAGATCTGCATCATTCTAAGAGTGGTAATTGCTGACATGCTATAAAAAATGTAGGAGAAAATCTCCCGACAAAAAATCAAATACTGAAATGAACAAAGGGCAATTACTTTTGGAAAAATCGTTGAATCAAAATTCTTTCAAGGGAGACAACTTCATATCATGATTATAATGTATACCAAGTTTCAAAGAGATCGGTCGAAAAATATAGGAGGAGATTGCTGGACAAACAAAAGTTTAGGCCGGACAGACGGGCGGACAACCCCATACCATAATACTTAATTTAATCCGTCAAATTTGACGGGCGTATAAAAAGGGAGTAAAATAAATTAATGATTTACAAGAGGCACAAGGTAAAGGAGACAGAGGCCAATTAAATTGATGGCATAAAATTATTATTTGTTTGTTTGTTTGGAGTCTAATGTCCTCACGACAGCCAGTGTCATATGAGGACGGGGCATTCTACAGCCCAGAATAAATAGTATAGTCTGGTAGGAAAAACAACTGAATTCAAAAAAAACTATTTAAAAGTTATCCAGGACATTAAACATAACTTTGAAGCATGCTTTGTTTTTGTAAATGTATACAATAAATAGAGAATATATGCTTATTTATTTATTTTAAAATTCAATTGTCTTTAATGAATATTGGGAATTGAAATAAATCCAAATTTTATTACTTTTTTATTACAGTAGATTTCTCTTAATATCACTTCTCATTTGTCAGAGGGAAATGTGATATTAACCGGAGCATGACATAAAAAGAAAACATGTTTTTCTGACCATTTCAGATGTCAAAACCCAGAAGTGATCATAATTAAATGTCCAAGTGATATGGTTTTACAAAGGAGATCGTTTAGTTAAATTATTTGTAACCGACACTGCTTTTTCTTCATTAACAGTGAAATATTTGTCTTTTACTTGTTTATTTCATTGAAATATGAAGGTTTTTACCTTCATTTACCATTAATTTTTTTGTGACAGTTGCCAAAATAAAGTGATATTAAGTGAAATCGACACCAAAAAAAGTGATGATAAAATAATTGAATTACATAGATTACATATGCCAAAAGCAGGAAAAATTGTTTTTCCTGCTATCGACATATGTAATCTATGTACTAGGTAATTATTGTTTTATACGGTGCAACAAGAAAACATGATAATAACCGAAAATGGCATTAAGCGATGTGATATTAAGTGGAATGTACTATACAAAGTTTTTTTCCACACAATAAATACCTCATCTTTCCTTTAATCAAAATGTATTCCTGATTTCTACTTCATTGTTATGATTTTAGTAAGATAACCACATCAGAAGACATACTAGTAGTATATATATAGTGAATTCACAGCAACAATCTGACAGAGCAACGTTAAATAACAAAGGGAGGTACGTAGTTCTTACCTCTGCATGCTCAGTATATCCACTTTTTGATACATCAGCAACATCACACTGCTCAATGTTAGCCTCATGCATTTCATCTAGTTCTTTAGTTGAAGGAGGCCAAACTGTGAAGGAAAATGTGAATAGATACTGTATTTACAATGCAATAGTTAAGGACAAATGTACTCAGGTTTAAGGATGATATTACTTCTCCACTTCCTTCTGCATTCACTGTGGCCACAAGGACATGACACAGGAAGGATTGCATCACCTCTAGGCCTACATGTCTCTCTTACCTTCATTGCGTCTTTGTTTTAACGATAGGGTCATCTTCCATATGTTGTATGTGTTTAATGATGAATCTGATTGGTTTAAGGGTTTAGTTTGGTTTGTTTGTGTTTTACGTCCTATTAACAGCTAGGGTCATTTAAGGACGTACCAGATTTTGGTGGTGGCTGAGGAAAACCAAAGTTCCCGCAGAAAAACCACCGACCTTATTAAAGGCCAGTACTTGTTTAATTCATGCATTCACCCCTGAAATTTCATAATGAACTGTTCCAACCTTTGAATCGGAAGAGTTCAAATGTGTTTTTAGTGGTGAATGAGTTAATGATAAATGGAGGAATTTAACAGCATTGACTTATAATTAGGCAACATTAGGTACAATAATGTAATACTATGTACAAAATGTGATTATCAAGATATCAACCAACATGCTAACAAGACCAACACTAGTTACTTTTGCATTTTGATATCTGTGTGTCATTGCTCATATTAACTCATTCATCCCTGAAGACACATTTGAATTCTTCCAATTCAGTGGTAGGAATAGTTCATTATGAAATGTCAGGGGTGAATGTGTTAAAGACAGAGACAACCTGAAAGATTTGTTTAGTTTGTTTTTATATGGTTTACCGTCTTATTTAAACATCTAAGGGAATTTAAAGATGTGTCTCAATATGTGTAATGTATGTGTGCATGCTTGTGTATAAGCGTTCTGGCAGGGTATGTTGGTGTAATTGCCTCCTTATAACAATACCATGGATCTAATGCCAACGTCATAGTTCTGGTCTACCTAACTGTGAAATACCATGTTGACGGCACCCAGCAAAGTGTTCTGTCCATGCAGTCACATTATGCTGACAATTCAACCAGTTGTCGCGATATTAAGCAGGTAATCGCAACTGTTTCAGCTTAGGGAGAGAACCACTTCAGTCTTCCTCACTTTAGGCAAACTTTAGCACTAAGGCAAAATGTGAGATATTGAATGGATGTTGATCCCAATGGGAAGTTATCTCCCCTTTGACTACCGAATGTGATATTGCCAAGAAATCTAGAGGTGATAGGAAAGAAAAAGGATTAGTAGGAACTCAGTAAAGAGAAAATAAAAAGATCCCAAATGTTGCAATGGGTGTACAAAGCAGATTTGGTTTGGTCGCTGTTGTATCTCCAGGCAGAGGACACAAAAAAATAGAAAATTCCAAATTATGCAGGGGTTTTCCACATATATTCTGCCTCTTACAACAGCAGGTGTATTTTTGTTAACCCCTGACCTGCATAGATGCAACCAAAATGAAACAAACAGATAGTACATGTACACTGTAACTAGACAATTTATTTTGTTGGTCTGACTTTGAGAAAAGCTTGAACAATTTACCTTTTGGTGGAAGATGTAACTTCTTTGTCCTTTGTTGTGTCAGTTTTTCTTCATATGGTTCCAACAGTTTAGCTACATTTTCATTTTTAGTGGCTCGTAAACCTTTAACAAGCTCCGAGAGAACTGTCTCATCACCGTACATCAGTGTGTTTATCAATGAACGAGTCTTGGTTTTCTTGGTTGCATTCACAGCCTGGAGTGTACAATGCAAAGACAGCTGTAATCATGATCTCTTCACATAAAATACATCTATAAAGGTTCCAAACAGTTGAGAATCCTTGAGGTACTTATGGCAGTGAAGACTTTTATGTAAGCTGTATTATAGGGGTATATAATTGCTAGTCCGGATTATTTTGATGTTTTATCGACTTTTTTTTTATATCTGTCTTTCGTCGTTAATCGACGACAGATCGATATAAAAAAGTTGATAAAACGTCAGAATAATTCGGACTAATAATCGCATGAGCTCTAATTATAAAAGTCATACTGGCTAATTAGGGTATTCTAGGGGCTAACAATCACATAAGCCCAATGGGTCTCACATTGGAAGATTTATCTATGGGTATTATATGAGCTCACAATCACATCAGCTCTATGGGTCCAACTGCAAGTTTTATCTATGGGTATTCTATGGACTCAAAATCACATTGGTCCTATGAATTTCACTGGAAGTTTCATCTATAAGTATTCTATGGGCTCAGAAAACATTTGCCCTATTGGTCTCACACTGGCAGTTTTTATATGGGTATTCTAGGGGGTCACAATCACATACGCTCTAAGGGTTTCACACAGGATTTTTATTTATGGGTATTCTAGGGACTAGCTTTTGCTTCAGGGGTTCTTTAAATAGCAACAACTTTCACCCTTTATAGGGCAATCTAGGGGGATTCAAAATACAAATGCTTTAGGTGTTAGTTATTTTACCAATCACCTGCCAAGATCAAGGGGTCCTACAACAAATATCCCTATTATTATATTAATTCCTATGAAGTTTTTGAGGTACAGTATACCTGTAGAGGTTCCATGTGTTTAACAGAGAAAGATAAGTGTGAAAATATATATGCTGATACATTTACCTGTATTTTTGCGACTTGGTCATCGTTCAGCAATGGAGGTGTAATGGTATGGTGGAAATACTCCACAAGATCATCTGGGTTAGCAACCTCCTTGATGATTGATGAAAAGTTCTTCCTTATACCCTCTTTCCACGCCTCTTCTGCCATGTTGTCAGATTCTAAAAGTATTCCATTATGACATTGCAGACTTGTGTGATGGTGACTATATATGATGTTGTATAAACATAAGTCATATTTACTGAGGTGTTATATATACACTGTATATGTCAAGTCACATTGGAGGCAACAACCCCCTCGGTTCATCGGCACATTCCCCCCTGAGTGTTACCGTACATCTCTAGATCTCCATTAACACAACACTGTGAACGGTGACTCCACCTTATATCATAACCCCAGCCCTGAACAGGGTTCGTAGGGTCTTGGGTTCAAACCCCGGTCTGGCTGCTATATTTTCTCTTTCTCCTGTTACAGACATGTGAATGTGTTTATAGCTTTTCTTCACTCTAAGTATAAGTATAATGGTGGACTATTATATAATGAGGGTGAGAAAATGTTGAAAAATTAATTAACAAAAGTCACATATGGTCTGAGTTGATTATTTTTTCAACGTTAAAATTAAATGTACCTCCTTATATTTTTTATATTTTTTATATATACCAAAACTTAACATACATGCACAGGTACGTACAAGCCTTGTCTGTCAATAAACCCATAACATATACATAGATTTATTCTGACAAAATTAAGATTTACAATCCTTTGACAGTCAGCTTACAAAAAATAATTAAATAAAAACATATTTCAAAAGTTGCGACATTTAGATTTACGGTAGTTTTTTTCTTTAAAACTGTATTTCTGCGCTTTAATTTGTCAGTGTTCATCTTTTTTTTATATTTAAATTGTTTAACTGTGCTTGAATTCACATCATTTGACAGAAAATTGTTCCATAAATCAACAGTTCTTTGTGTGAACGAAAATTTTCTAATATTTGATCTTGAATGCGATTTGTAAATTGTAAAATTGTGTCCACTGATGTAGATGAACTTTCCCTAATATTAAATATGTCGGATACTTCATGGTCATTATAATTTCCCGGACAATATTTCATATTTGTTTTAATATCATAATTGGTAACCAGGTCCAGTACACATTGGCAGCTACATTGTATAGCTGCATGTAAAGACCTATAATAGCTCTATTGACCTATAAATCTGAAATAGGTCTTTTCAGCTATCTGCATGTGATTTTCTTTTTTAAGGAAAATGAAACAAACTCGCTTTAGAATGAAGATTGCATGTAATATAAGAATTCTTTTTAAAAAATTATGATGTAAAAAAATCGGAAATTTTATATTTATGAAAATTGAAAATAAACATCTAAATGTATGCTTTTTGTAGTTACAGCCTGACTTGTACATGTACCATTACATCAGCTTTATCTGTTTGTTTTGTTTAGGTTGCATCTATGCAGGTCAGGGGTTAAAAAAATACACCTGCTGTTGTAAGAGGCAGCATATGTGGAAAACCTTATTGTTTTATGCGACTTTGCGTTAATTTAATGAATACTGAAATCTGAGAAAATATAGCTCAATAATACAGCTATCATGTATAGGTGAATATAGCCAGGGATGTGTAGTGGACTACACATCCCTGATATAGCTATATAGGTATTTATAGCTATATAGCTCCGCATTAAAGCCATTTTGGTCTCTGTGGAGTAAAACATATAGATAGATATATAGATATATAGATATATATACATTGTAGCTGTACTGGACCCGGTAACTGGGTAACGAAAGAATGGAAATTTACACACCAACAAAAAATATGAATAATATGGGTCACCAACATAGATTCTTCGAAAATATTAACAAATTGTATTTCCTTACATTTTGTGGGTATCCAATAGGTAGTACAAAATGAAAGGCTCGTCATTGCCTGTGTACTTTATAGCTTCCATATATAGGAACTTCGGCAAAAACGAAAGTCGATGTAGGTAATGTTAAGAACCAGCATACCGGAATATTAATCCTGATCGTTTCCGGAGTTGTGATGACAACAATATCATTAATCGTTAACTTTATCTGGAAAGCGATAAATATAAATGAACAATATTAATACTTGGATATGTAATAACGTTTTCCCTGGATGTAATATGTATGATTGTTTATCATATCCGTTTCCGGGGTCCCAACCAGAGCCTCTCCGCCTCCGTTTAATTTTTTATAATTGGAAATTTGGCAGTTCGTCAATGCGGATGTACATATATATGTAGTTTACGTTTAGGCCTATGACGTAAGTAATTAAATATTTTGTGACACATCACACATCTTAATGAGTCAAATGAGTTTTCATGACCTCCAAAACATGCACAATTTAAATATATTTGCAAATAACATAGATAACGAAGTTAGAAACCCGTTTTTCATGCTAGTAAAATGGAAAACGAAAGTACAATTTACATTGTCAAGTATATGTAAATCATTATTATAGAAATCGGGTATTTTGGACTACATTGTCAAGTGACAATTATTGTTCATTAGTGCCTTGTACAGTTGAACATGTTACTTTTTATAAACCATTAATCATCTTTAATCTAGGCCTATAGACATGTGGCAGATTTTGATTGTAGTCCTACCACTGTAGCTACATGTATGATTATGGTCGCAAGTTCTAGCTTCGATCTAGAGGGAATTTCCGTTTAGCTCAGTGGTAGAGCAGTTTAATAGGAACCTGGAGATCGAGGGTTCACTCCCCGGTGGAAGCACGCTATTCTCTTTCCGGCTACAGACATTTAGTACCAGTGCAGGAACACCAGTTATGCATAAACATGTATAAATATATATATTGAGCTTCAGAGGTTTGGGTTCAGTATAATGGAAGAAGAAGAAAGTGTTAAATGATATTCTCTGCACACAGTTTTTTCTTCATATTTTTCTATCCAAAATATTAATAAAAATACTAAACATTCTCCTGTCTGTATTTGTTTGTGTTTCTTCCATAGACAAATTAAAAAGGTATAAATATTGTGGTGTGGACAATTTTTGTACAGTTCAATTATCATTTCAGATGGACGAGGGATGGAAGAAAGACCTTTCTACAAATTTCAGTATTATTGTTAAACATGTTGATGACCCTGATGCTGTAGCGGAATATCTCCATTATGACTGTAACCCCCCGGTGTTTACTGAAGAAGATGTGCAATGGATGAAGGTATTATAACATTATATATAATCAAGTTACATATACATGTACATGTATGTAATTTAATCCTAGAAATAAAGAATAACATTTACATGGTTTCCTCAAAGTTCAGTCAGAGCACAATTAAGAATCACATCAATTTTTCTTAAAATCAGCTACATTACGTTTATTTAATAATCAAAGTGGTTTTTTTCAAAGACATATTGGGTGAAATTCTATAATACATACATTCTGTAGCTTAATGACCATAAGAAACAATGGGCTAGAATTTAACTGTCAGACCATTTGTCATGTCAGTTGATGTCACCATGCAAGCTCTAGGTTCAAGGATTGGATCTCATACTCTCCTTACCTAATTATTAGTAAGAAACCAATTCCCAATATCGCAGATATATGTATATTAGGTGAAGAGAGGAGACCCTCTGTTTACCACCTGGTTGAATTGCTGTCAGGACATGGATGGAGGTTACAGGAGGTCAAAATGTCAGGTTGGCTGAGCTGCAGACAGGGGAGAAGTCTTGTGATAACACTGCATAGCCCCCCAGTTGTCTCTGTGTCTCTGTGAATTAACGCTTATGTTGATAGAGAATCGAAGGAACATAGTTCATTTAACTATATACCACATCTGTTCAGATGTGTGATTTATGATAATGAGATGATTTAGGTAGATGAAAAGCAGACCCCTGATATATATATATATATATATACATAATGCTTTGCAAATTTAAACCTGCCTAATATTTCATAGCCTTAATGATTTCTAAATTGGAAAATACATGAAAATCCTATGTCCACAGATCTAGACATTTTTCCAGGCATTTTCCTATGGATAAAATCACTGACTGCCAGGGAGGATGTCTATGAATAATTAAGACAGTAAAAATGACTCAATGGATGATGTTCATGAGGAGCAATGGAAAAACGAATTACTGCATACATTTCTTGATTCTTTTTCAGGCTCTTGATGAGTCTACCAAAAACAAAACAAGAAAGTTACTCCATAAGCTGACGTTCAAGCCAAATTATCCGCTTGTTGCACTTTATAATGCTTTTAAAGAAAGTGGAAATACAGCATTAAGGAAATGCTTGGTGCCACATGTGGAGAGCTACTACAAGGCACAGAAAAAGGACATCAGCAAACCCATCCCTGACAGTAAGTTCACGTGTGTAGTCAAGTCAGGATTGATGCATTGCATCTGACTTTATTTTAGCGACGAAATTCCGAGCCCACAATTGTATTTTAATAGATGTTAGTATAGTTATATTTTCCAAATTTGGCAACACATACTTCATGTAGTCTGGCAGTAGACAGCCCAGAAAACAGTTTTGACTGTTTCCATAACAACTGTAATAGGTGGAAGAGAAATCGGATGCAACACCCAGACCAGGGTTCAAACTCGGGACCCTCAGAACTCTAAACAAACACTCATTACCAATTGAGCTTACTGTTCACAGGAAATTGACCCAGTCCTGATTTGCTCCATCCTCGATATCCAGGGGTTACGCTCACGTACGCTCTCTGCACACCTGGAATATGTCATAGCAAAATTGAGGGCACAAAGATAGGCATTTGATTGGTCTCGGGTAAAAATACCTGACCAATCTCTAGGCTGATACAAATGTACCTATCCTTTGAAGATTACAAAAGAGCACATCCGACTTCAAAGTCGGTCAAGTTTTTTTTTATGTACCTCAAAGGATCTAACTAGTCTTCTTGTCTCATCAACAGGGTGAGACACACACTGAGCCTTCAGTTTTGCTATGACATATTCCAGGGGTGTATAGAGAGCGTAGGTGAACGTAACCCCTGGATATCAAGGATGGTTTTGCTCCCTGCTTTAACAAAGTCTTTGAACCCAAAGACAATCGTGAGCCCAACATTTTGCGCCAAATATGCCACAACTACTATAAATAGACCAAGTTTATTGTGAAATAAAAATGGTAAAGCATTTTTTTTTAAATAATCTTCTTAGCCAAACCTCGCCAGTTAAGCCTTGATTCTGAATCCAGGTCAAATTTGGTGTTATAACATTATATGGAAGATGTCAAAAAATAAACCAACATTTTTTTTGTTAAATATGATGCTTCTGTTATTTAATGTTTTTCTCGGATATAAATGACAAGTGATAAAAGTGAAATGTACTGTGTATACTGCATCATAAAGATATATAAATTTGTCACCCTGGTAAAATACTAGACACTTCCTACCGACACAACTAGGGAGAATTTCTCTTTAGCTCATTCGGTAGAGTGTAAGACTAGTAAGCCAGAGGTCCAGGGGCTTGACTCCTAGCAGAAGCTTTGAAAAAATAATGACCTCTGTTACATTGGCGCCCACGTAGGGACCTGGGAGTTTTGACAAATATACTCAGTGATACTTTCACAAGAATCGCTATGACCCCTTGGCGAGTTCTTTCCTGGAGGGGGAGTGTGTCACCTTTGTAAAATACTAGCTGCTTTCTCCCAGCACAGCTAGGGATAATCTCTCTTTAGCTCATTCTGTATCGTGAAAGATAGTAAACCAGAGGACTTCTAGCGGAAGCATTGAAAAAAAAATGACCTTCTTTACATATTGAAAGTTTGTTGTTCGATTGTTGTTCGATAATTGACCTAGATTCCTACCTGAACACATTAGTATATATAGGTGTCCTTTGTAATCATTCTGATATATTTTTTCTCTTCTTATTTACAGACAAATTACCTATGACGGACCAAACCTGGAAAGAATTCCACCAAGTAGATGCTGTCACATGTCAGATCGATTCAGCTGGCTTATTGAAGACCTATGAGGACACAAACCATAACGTAAGTGCATGAGGCTGTACCTAAATGTAACAATGTGTGTCGAAGGTCAGGCAGGACTAACGGTAGACTGCACGGGACTAACAGCAGCTATACTTGTAGCTTTTATAGTTGGTCAGAGCAAATCATTTCAGAGGGTCACATGTTCAGGATTTAACCTTCCATGGGTTTTTTCAACATTGGTTTTTGTGTCGCCTGCAATGCGAGGTGACATAAAGGTATCGCTTTGTTGGCGGCGGCGGCGGCTGCGTCATTGTCAGTGGCATCGTCCGAAACAAGGTCCATGCAATAACTTAATTGAGTTTCCTTGAGTTGATTGAACTCAAACTTGGTACACATATTGCATACCAATATAGCATGAATGAATTCACATTTCAGAAGTTTACATGCAGTTTTAGTGGAGTTATGCTCCTTTTATTAATTGTCAAATAAGGGCATTGTGTAGTAAATGGAAGAACTTTTTTTTTTTAATCAATTCCTTTTGAATTTTGTACAGTAATGCTAGAAGCAAGAATGTTCAACACACATTACAGGTTTTTCTGTTGAGTTTTATTTTTCCGCGTTTTAGCATATCACACTTGACATACAGATGTAGCAAGGCTGTTCATCGTTTTTGCCGTTAATTATGGCTTGGTTAAGCGATAACTCAACCAAAACACTTTTCTCACTAAAAGCGCTGAGCAGGCGACACATCCACTCCTCTGGAATTCTTGTTATTAAGAACATCCAGCATCAGCCAAAATAACTGGTTCAGTTTGGATTTTTGCCTGTTTGGATTAACTTTTTCTAATGTACATGTGTGCTTTGTACATTGTAAACCTACAAAAATTTGGTTGGTTGAAATTGCATTTGGCCTGTTTTGAGGAGAGTTACTGCAAAGCCTGATTCCGTTGCACACTCCTGTACAGTGTTACAAACTATTGCTTACATTTACTAACTCTTGCATCCATCAGATATCCACATTGACCCTACAGTACATGTATGTTTAGTAGTGCAGCTTGTTCTGTGGAAGGCTGTTCAGGTTGTTTAATATATAAACTTTATTTATTTTACAACAATTATGAAACAAGTTATTTCAATGTGAATCACTCTTGTTGGCCCGGATGTTAGCGTGCGGGGGGTCTTAATAAGGGAGGAACCGGAGTACCCGGAGAAAACCCATGTGGTCGGACAGGTGACCCCATACCTTGTCACGTCTGATGGGGGAATTGAACCCCGACAGCCTTGGCGAAAGGCAAGCGCGCTATCCACTGCGCCACCTGCATGACCTCCCAGTTTGTTTGAATAACTGACCTCAACCCATTTCAACATCAAAAGGGTAGTATATAGTACAGATGTAAATTAAAATATTAAATAATATAACATCTTCAAAGCCAATAGGTCCACCGTCATGAAATTTGTGCAGTACATATATAGCTTACTGAATTGAGGATATCAGTTTTGTTCAAATGAATTACCTTGACTCATTTAAATTTCAAGTTCACGAGGGTGAAATGTAACTAAAATTTTAAAAAGATTTCTTCTTTAGAACCATGAGTCCTTAGAGTCAGGTTTGGCCTGTGGTTAAAAAATAGCTAAATGTTTACAGAGATAAAATACTGGCATGTTAAAATTTTTTAGATTTCTTCAGAACCATAAGATCTACAGTCAAGATAATGAGGTCTGTATATAAAAAAGTACATAGTAGCTTGCTGAAGAAAATGAGCTGTAACGTGCTGAATTGTTATCAAAGTGTTTTCGTTAATATCATTACAGTATAAGATGACGAAGGAAACAAGAGGGAGAGCTGTGATAATAAACAATGCCAATTTTGAAGAGCAGAAAAAAAGAAGGCATGGTTCTGAGAAAGATGTAGAACTTCTCAAAAAAACACTCACACAGCTACACTTCGATGTTAAAGTTTATGAGGACTTGACTGCTGTGGTGAGTTCAGACTACTACAAATACTTATTAAATGATGTACAAAGACTTGCCCTCTGAGGTAAGTTCAGATACTATAAATACTAATATACTAAATGTATGAAGGCTTGACCTCTGTGGTAAGTTCAGACTACTATAAATACTAACTAAATGTACAAAGACTTAATTGACCTCTTTGGTAAGTTCAGATACTATAAATACTAACTAAATGTATGAAGACTTGACCTCTGCGGTAAGTTCAGATACTACAAATATTTACTAAATGTACAAAGACTTAATTGACCTCTTTGGTAAGTTCAGATACTATAAATAATAACTAAATGTACAAAAACTTGACCTCTTTGGTAAGTTCAGATACTACAAATACTAACTAAATGCACAAAGTCTTGACCTCTGTGGTAAGTTAAGATTCTACAAATACTAACTAAGTGTACAAAGACTTGACCTCTGTGGTAAGGTCAGATACTATAAATACTAATATACTAAATGTATGAAGGCTTGACCTCTGTGGTAAGGTCAGATACTATAAATACTAACTAAATGTATGAAGACTTGACCTCTGTGGTAAGTTCATGATCAGATACTATAAATACTAACTAAATGTATGAAGACTTGACCTCTGTGGTAAGTTCAGACTACTACAAATACTATCTAAATGTACAAAGACTTGCCCTCTGAGGTAAGTTCAGATACTATAAATACTAACTAAATGTATGAAGGCTTGACCTCTGTGGTAAGTTCAGATACTACAAATACTTACTAAATGATGTACAAAGACTTGCCCTCTGAGGTAAGTTCAGATACTATAAATACTAACTAAATGTATGAAGGCTTGACCTCTGTGGTAAGTTCAGATACTACAAATATTTACTAAATGTACAAAGACTTGCCCTCTGAGGTAAGTTCAGATACTATAAATACTAACTAAATGTATGAAGGCTTGACCTCTGTGGTAAGTTCAGATACTACAAATATTTACTAAATGTACAAAGACTTGCCCTCTGAGGTAAGTTCAGATACTATAAATACTAACTAAATGTATGAAGGCTTGACCTCTGTGGTAAGTTCAGATACTACAAATATTTACTAAATGTATAGAGACTTGACCTCTGTGGTAAGTTCAGATACTACAAATACTAACTAAATGTACAAAGACTTGACCTCTGTGGTAAGTTCACACTACTACAAATACTAACTAAATGTACAAAGACTTGACCTCTGAGGTAAGTTCAGACTACTACAAATACTAACTAAATGTACAAAGACTTTACCTCTGAGGTAAGTTCAGACTACTACAAATACTAACTAAATGTACAAAGACTTTACCTCTATGGTAAGTTCAGACTACTACAAATACTAACTAAATGTACAAAGACTTTACCTCTATGGTAAGTTCAGACTACTACAAATACTAACTAAATGTACAAAGACTTGGCCTCTGTGGTAAGTTCAGACTACTACAAATACTAACTAAATGTACAAAGACTTGGCCTCTGTGGTAAGTTCAGACTACTACAAATACTAACTAAATGTACAAAGACTTGACCTCTGTGGTAAGTTCAGAAACTATAAATACTTACTAAATGTACAAAGACTTGACCTCTATGGTAAGTTCAGACTACTACAAATACTAACTAAATGTACAAAGACTTTACCCCTGTGGAAAGTTCAGACTACTATAAATACTAACTAAATGTACAAAGACTTGACCTCTATGGTAAGTTCAGACTACTACAAATACTAACTAAATGTACAAAGACTTTACCCCTGTGGTAAGTTCAGACTACTATAAATACTAACTAAATGTACAAAGACTTGACCTCTGTGGTAAGTTCAGACTAAGAAATGAACTTTGAGGTTCCGGTAAGTTCAATTGGATAAAGGTATATCTATAATTATTGCCCAATCACTGCTCAGAACTGCGGGTATATATTTGTGTGTACTATAAAATATAACTCCTAAATCCTGTGTATGACACAATTTAAACTGTTATGAAAATGAACTACAGTCCATTTAAATTTTTACATGCTTTGTGACCATAGATTATAAAAGAAATAGAAGAGAACATATCCTACATGACCTTATAAAAATCCAGAATGCTATCACTAACTCCAAAAATGACTTAAACCTCCTTACTTCAGTCAAGCTTTTCTTTCACCATGAGCTCTCATTCGGCATCCATTATTAATTTTGTATTTTTTTCAATTGGGGAATCAAATATATTAAGTTACAGAGGATCATGGGAATTCCCACAATAGTTACCCTGACAGTACATGAACTGCTATGAAGCATTCTCTGACAGCTAAGTAGCAGTCCTCCTTAAAAGCTTTAACTTAAAAGCAGTCATATTTTTGGACTGTTTAAAAGGTAAATAACAGCTTATTACAAACTACTAATAAAAAAAACTGTGAAAGAAATGTCAAGGATGACTAGCTTAATTCAGCTGTTCACTTAGCCTTGAGTTAACATAGAGTTTCAAACAAGTACATTGTGTTAAAATTACTGAAGACCAGTTTCATATCAAGGTCATATACCGTCATGGATAAGTTCAAGGTCATAGCAATAGAGGCTTTAATAATGCCCCAAGTCCTTAAGTTTTTGATGGATACAGATTACACTATACTGCATGTTAAAAGTACTACAGCAGATTGATGATTTTGATTGGCAGGATATAAGGAAAACACTCAGTGAAGAAAGCCAATCTGATGACCTCAAGTCTGCGGAGTGCTTTATCCTGGTCGTGATGAGTCATGGGGTTATTAGTGGCATAAATGGCACGAAAGATGAAGTTGTCAAATTTGACGAATTTGCAAAAATTTTCAACCCTACAAAATGTACAGCACTCAAGGACAAGCCAAAGCTCTTCTTCTTCCAGTCATGTCGGCAAAAAGGAGAACAAGGTTTTTAACATTCTATTTTCAATTCAGGGTCATGAAGTTTGCTTCTGAAATAGACATTTTTCTAAATGATGTGAGAAAGAAAAAGCATGAACCTTTTATAGATATATGTATTCAATTTTCACTCTGTGTAGAAATAACTCATTCACCCCTGAAAACACTTTTGAACTCTTCCAATTCAAAGGTTGGAATAGTTCATTATGAAATTTCAGGGGTGAACTAGTTAAGATTCTCTGTAATGTTATGATATCTAATCCTTTACAGGGATATACAAGATTTAACCCTGCGTAATGATATACAAATGTATAAAATCCCTAATATAACAGTTTGTATCAATATAGTTTATGTGCAATGCCATCACTAGGGATGGGCAATCATTTCTTATATAAATGAGGTTGGTTTGACCACTGGGGCCAGGGAGGTGGGGCCCTGAAGAGGAACTTAGCTAATTTTGCTTTAATATGCATCTCCTACTTAATGCCAGTGAGGATTTCAACCAAATTTAATCTGAAGCATCACTAGGGGAGGGCAATAATTTCTTAAATAAATGAGGTTAGCTTGATCCCTGAGGCCAGGGCTGAGGGGCCTTGAAGAGAAACTTAGCTAAATTTGCTTTAAAACGCATCTCCTGCTTAACGCCTGAGAGGATTTCAACCAAATTAAGTCTGAAGCATCACTAGGGAAGGACAATCATTTCTTAAATATAAATGAGGTTGGTTCCACCCCTGAGGCTAGGGGGGCGGGGCCCTGAAGGGGAACTTAACTATATTTGCTTTAAAATGCATCTCCTCCTAAATGCCAGAGAAGATTTCAACCAAATTTGCTCTGAAACTTCATTGGGGGAGGGCAATCATTTCCTAAATAAATGTGACTGGTTCGACCCCTGGGGCTAGGAAGACTGGGCCCCAAAGAGGAAAATTATCTAATATTTTGCTTTAAGATGCTGATATCCCCTAATTGCCTGCAAACATTTCTTAATTGAATGAGGTTGATTTTACCCCTGTGGTCCTAAGAAATGGTACAGCTAGATTATCATATTCTATGGTGTAGTTTTTATAAATTGTTAAAAATTGGTCTCTAGGTTTATAACAGCTTATAATTGAATGAAAATTAAAGTATTGTCTAATTACACCCTGTAATATGACATATTACTAATTTCAAAATCTGTTAACATGGCAACTCAATTGAGGCCCCTGATTAGTTGAAAGTCAGATATTGTGGTCCCAGTTGGGTTAGAACATAGATCTTGTCTGGATTTGAGGAAATTTCATATAAAGATGTACTAATGCATTCAGTTGTATTATGACTTAAATATAAAACCAGGTGAGCGATACAGGTCCAATGGACCCCTTGTTTAATTTGATTTTTTTTTTCCCAAAATATTTTATTTCTCCAGCCAAATATTATATGTGATATACTGATAAGTACTGATAAGTATATATATATAATTTGATAGAAACTGCCAGGGTTGGGGAGCCCTGGAGTCAGTCTCCTAAACATATTTGATATCAATTTTAATAGAACAATTAACTAACGTTGGGAAGCAATATTTCATTTCTAACCAAGTGTATAAAGATAAAAAACAATTAATGTAATCAGTATAGTTGATGTATTCTCCATTTACTTGATTAAGGAATGGACACTTCCATGGAGCAGAGAGGGAGAATTCAAGGAGTGGAGAATAACAAGGATTTCTTGTTTTCTTTCGCCACAGTAGAGGGTATGTAAAATATTAATTAATGGATAATTATGATCATATGACAGAGTAGAGGGTATGTACAATATTAATTAATGGATAATTATGATCATATGACAGAGTAGAGGGTATGAACAATATTAATTAATGGATACGTATGATAATATGTCACAGTAGTGGGTATGTAAAATATTAATTAACGGATATGTTTGATCATTTGCCACAGTAGAGGGTATGTACAATATTAATTAATGAATAAGTATGATCATTTGCCATAGTAGAGGGTATGTAAAATATTTGTCATCCTGGTAAAATACTAGTTGCTTCCTACCGACTTGGCTAGGGGGAATTTTTCTTTAGCTCATTCGGTAGAGCGTAAGACTAGTAAACCAGAGGTCCAGTGTTCGACTTCTGGTGGAGGCATTGAACAAATAATAACCTCTGTTACATTGGTGCCCTCACGTAGGGACTCGGGGGAATATTTACACAGTGACACTTGCACAAGAATCGCAATGTCCCCTGGAAAACTCAGGACAATTTCTTTCCTGGACGGGGAGTTTGTCACCCTGGTAAAATACTAGCCGCTTCCTACCGTCTCGGCTAGGGAGAATATCTCTTTAGCTCATTCGGTATCGCGTTTATTAATAAGACTAGAAAACCGGAGGTTCTGGGTTCGACTTCTTATGGAGGCATTGAAAAAATAATGACCTCTGTTACATATTAATTAATGGATATGTATGATCATATGCTACAGTAGCCATTTCATTGATATAAACAGTTTTTTTTTCTTTAAATTATTAAATATATGTCGTAATAATTTGTTCAAAATTAATTAAACAATACACAAGGAAAATTAGAAATTATAGGAATCTGTTCCATGGGACCAATTCATAATATTACTGTCTATCGAACACTTCAATAGTGTTGCTATTCAGGAAGTTAGAACTCACTGTTTCAAAATGAAATATGAATACATTGTACCTTGCAAATTAAGGGAAGTAAATGTAAGCTTGAAAAAAAAATCTGATATTTTTTTGTAATTTACCGTATTAGAGAGAATACTTCAAGCAGAAAAAGCTCATTCTTTGCAATTTTAACCTGTGTAGTGATACCATTTACCATAAATGCTGATTTTGTTTCTTGTACAGGGTTTCAATCTATGTGTTTTGATGATACTGGAGCCTGGTTTATCCAGGCATTGTGCTGGGTCCTCAAATATGATGCACATAGACTACACATATTGGATATGCTCACCAAAGTAAGATATTTTCTTTTCTAACATGTTTAAATCTCAAATTAACTAAATATAACTAGTGTGGTTATGACACAAAAAGGACCACTTATGACTATTTGTTGTTGCGGGGCCGCAGTTGCCAAGTGGTTAAAGCATCTGACATTCTACTACCACTAGCCCTCCACCACGGGGTCGTGAGTTCGAGCCCTACACGGGGCAGTCGCCAGGTACTGGTAGTAGGTCAGTGAGTGGTTTTTCTCTGGGAACTTCAGCTTTCCTTCACCACCAAAACCTAGCACGTCTTTAAATGACCATAGATGTTGTTAATAGAGTGTAAAAAAACACAACCAAAATGACTATTGTGGATGCATTCCATATGGTGAATTTTATACTCCCAGATATTGAAGTTTCAGAAAAAAAGGTTCATAGGGATAACTGCCAATCTATCTGTCCAGAAACATGCATGTTGCTTTTAGGGTCATAATTATGTCTTCCTTTCGATTAAATGGAGACATTGTATCAATATTAGTTCTTCTCCTCATACAATCTTGTTGACTTAGTCTTATCTGTTAAAAAAAAAAAGATATCTTGTTGAAACTTGAAGTAAATCTACATTACCCACAGGTCAAGATGGGGAGCAGTACACTGTGTACATGTTTAGGTCAGCTTGACCTTCACCTCTAGTTCAGCTTGACCTTCGCCTCTAGGTCAGAAATTAATAAATAAAAAAGGTTTTAACTTTTGTAACCTGAAACATATCATAATGAAATTTAAAGTGTATTTTACCTGGAACCTAAGAAAAAACACATATTGAATGAATTTTCAAGTTCACATGATATGTGAACTAGATACTTCAATTATATAAAAAAAAAATATATTTGTTTCTCAATCAATCCCCTACACCCACTTAAAATCGTGAACTGTATTATATATTTACAATATATTTGGCTACCAAGTTTATTCAAATGAATGACTTTGACTTATATTCATGGTCACAGGGGTCAAACATGTTAAAAATATTTAAATGACTTCTAATGAATAACCAAAAGGACCAGGATGATGATATATGGCCAGTATCATGGTAGGACGAAGGGCTACGAACTTTGTTTATATGAATGACCTTCACTTATATTCAAGGTCACAGGGGTCAACTATGTTTAAAAAATTAAACGACTTCGGAAGAATATTTGGTTAGTAGCATGCTTGGATGAAGGGTTATCAGGCTTTAACATTTGAATGACCTTGACCCACTTTCAAGGTGACATTTAGTCAAATATGCATAAACATGACCTAATCTCAATAAACAAAAGGTCTTGGGTAGTGATATATTGCAAGTTGCATGCTGAGATGAAGGACAATACAGTTTGTTCAACGTTATGACCTTGTTTGACTTTCAAGATCACAGGGGTCAAATTTGTTAAAATCTTTTAACAGGTTCTTTTGAATGACTTAAAGTCATAAATACTGATATTTCAAAAGTAGCTTTTATTTTAGATCACTTTTAAGGTTACAAGTGAGAGATTACTACCAGGTGAGCCATGCAGGCCCCTTGTTTACAATGCAGTATAATAATGACTAGATACCTGGGTGGTCGTTAGATTGGGTTGGTTGGTTGGTTGGTTGAAGGGTTTTACGTCTACACTCACTGACGAAGTCGGTGTTCGGTCGACGTGAGGGGGTCAGTTGCCGCTTTCCAGGCCCTTGCGGATTCAAAAGTCCGGCCCATAAGACAGCTCCTCAGATGCAGATAGGCTGTCACAGCTACTGTTGTCCACGGAACGACGTCCTTTGTGTAGTCCTCGCTGTCCTCCTATGTGGTCGTTAGAATCATATACTATTATCTATAGTATTTACATATTAATGTCAGTTTTAAGATTGATAGTCACCATTGGTGTACATGTACGTGTTTTGTGTCTGATAATTCTTCTGTTTTAGGTAAATGCCTTGGTGTCTGGTATGGAAGAGGAAGGAAAGAGTTGTTATTTTGTACCAGAATGTAGGGGAAGTCTGGTGAAAAATGTCTACTTCTTTCCTGGTGTGCGTGGAGAACCGAGCAGTCCATTGAAAAATGAGAAAAATGGAGCAGTACTGTAATAGAGACTAGAAAAAAATCTTGGACATATAAAATAAAACCCAGCTTGGTTGGAAAAACTTTAAAGTTCATTACCCACCCCCCTATCAGAAATTGAAGGTTTTTATATTATTTTCTTTTGTTTTTGTGTCCCTCCATGCATGCCTGCTGACTGTGGTTTCTGAAGTACATCTCAGCCACTGTTTCTGAAATGGGAAGCAAGCATGGCCAGTACATCATGGAATAGCAGTGTGTCACATCCTAAAATTAATTTGACCTCAATTTGACTTGGACCTAAACTACTTAAATAATGGTTTCTGGAGCATATGTCGGCAGCTGGTTCATTAATAGGAATTTGTGTTTATAGGTGTATCATGGGAAGGCAGTGTGTGGTTTCCTCGAAAGGAGGTCACTGGGACCTCAATTTGACCTGCATATACATATTTATGACCTTGACTTAAGTATAAAAAATAATGGTTTCTGCAGTACATCTGAGCCCATGTTTTATGAATGGGAATCAATCTTTGTAAATAGGTTTATTCTGGGAAGGACTTGTGTTTCATCCTATAACAAGGTATCTGAGCGTTCAGACCTATGACCTTGACCTGAAGTACTAAATACTGGCTTCTGGAGCTTATCTGTGCAACTGTTTTGTGAATGGCCATCAAACTTGGTAACAGATACATCCTGGAAAGGAGTTTTGTTTCTTCCTCTAACCGAGACCTCATCAGTCTGACCTTTGACATTGACCTTAAGTACTAAAAATTGGCTTCTCAGAGCTCATCTCTACCACTGTTTTGTGAATGGCCATTACACTTTCTATATAGGTAAATCATGGGAAAGCAGTGTGTTGCATCCTAAAATGAGGTCTTTGTGACCTACAATTGACCTTTTATCTTTGAACTCAAGTACTTAAACACAGTGTATAACAAGTTTCAGAAGCATATACATCTAGACTACCATGTTATGTAGGTACCAGAATTAATGTGCATGTACTTTTTATAATCAAGGAATATGTCAGGTAATGCAATTGATTCAGTTCAATCTCAATATGGCCCCAGGTTTAAAATACAGTGTAGGCCTAGGTCTACATTGGCTACCATTTTATGTATGGATATCAGATTTGATGTAATAAGGTCGGGTGGTAACAGTGTGGTGTAATTAAATGAGGTTTATGAGGTCAACATCCAACTTTTTAACCTTGACCTCAAGTACATGTACCTAACACTATTCATATATATAGCTGCAGGGAGCAGAGGTCAACAGGGAACCTCTGCTTGTGTTAAATCTGGTTTATCTTAAAGCCTTTAAGTTTTGATATTCAGCCTCAACAATTTCGGGACTTTCTCATTGATACCACTTCATTTATTAAATAAGTGGGAAATTATGGATTGAAAAAACCTGAATTGTCACCTTGACCTTTGACCTCTAATGTTTACAAGCTTTTTCCATTATGATATTACAGAACAACTTAAATATGTGTAGTAATACCCAATTAATTATACTTTTAAAGCAAATGAATGTTTACTTAAAATTCCACCTAAGCGATCTTTTAACTTTCACGGCTGACCTTCAGCTTTTGCAGTTTTGATATATCTTTTTTGGCAGTTACTGCAATATATATAACAACTTTCATAAATATTTAAGGTTAGGGTTTGTAACCATCTTTGACCTTGACATTTGATCGACCCTTATCATTTGATGTCTCCTGATACCATTTGTGACATATAGCAGGATACTTGTAATATGTGCGGCGATATCAATCTTCTTTTATTTACACTCAAAAGGCGAGTGCACTATGAACTGTGTCACCTGACCATCCATAATATTCTTTAATGTCTGACCACAAAATAGGAATCAATAATCATCAAATTGATTTAAAATTCAACTTTATTGGAACTAAAAGTTGTATGGAATAAAAATAATGTTCAACAAAAGAAAAACAATAACAAATGGTACATGGTAATGCGTAGAGTCAATTTTAATATGCTATGGCAATATTTCAGAATTCGATATCTCAAAAAGAACTGGCGTCCCATAAAACAAAACTGCCATCTCATTAAAACCATGCAATAACAAGTGTTTATAACACATATATCAAAAAGGAAAATAAAAACCCATGCATCAGTTTTCGTTTCAAAATCATACAAGATGCATGTGGATTTCAAAGGCAGTTTTTATTTTGTCATTTGTTGTCTAATGTCCCACACTTATGACGACAGGTACCTAGGGAGCTACTGCCAAAATTACAGCTTACAGAGTTTCCTCTGGCCCTGACATCAGACTTAGAAATTTTGACAGACAGATCTCTGGTGTGGGGCAAGAGCCCCCTGCTACATGAAAACGTGGAGTTCAACGTTAACGTGACCTACAAATTTGAACGATTGAAAACCGAAGACTACTGACGGAATTGAGCAGCTGTTGGTGATAATAAGAGCAGACTTTCATCAATAAATAGTCCATTTGTCGATATATGTGAGGTATGTGTTGTGTCATAGTCGATTTTTGCTGTCAGCACCTCAAAACTGCACGACACCAAACAGTGTCGGAAAATTCCACGTTTTCATATAGCAGTGCGCTCTGGCCCCACACCAGACATCTATATGTCAAAAAGTCTTAGTCTGGTGTACATGTCAAGGCCAAAGGAAGCTCCGGCTACCAAAATACAAAGTAGGGTAGTTGGAAGTAAAGATACAGCTACCAAGTGTTGGAATTTGGGAAGCAGATCAATGTTGGTGTCCTCTATGTCCTTTAACTTATTCACCCCTGAAATTTCATAATGAACTATTCCAACCATTGAATTGGATGAGTTCAAATGTGTCTTCAGGGGTGAATGAGTTAAACAGATCAGTAAGAAAACATTGACTCTGCGTGTGGACCCACTGTGCAAAGGTGTCAACCTCTGAAACCTCCAATGAGAGAGATCTCCCTCCTACCACATTTCAAATGAGGGAGAAAGAGCGTGAAACGCGACTAATACTGCTTTGCTCTATCCATCTTTCCCTTTTTATACGTCAAAATAATTCCGAAAAACATTGATATGATTCAGACACAACTGTTATATGATAATTACACACATCCTGCAGTAACTAGGAGATCATATGACCACAGGATGTAGATTTCGAGTTTGTGTGAGTTTGGACTTGAATGAGGAAGTTTCATGGGAGATTGGTAACTTTTGGTCAAAATAATAGAGTCTTCTCCCTAATGATGGAGAGTTAACAGCGATGGCTGTGCCACAATAACCGTTTCTTCACAAATGCAATGGGATAAGCAGGTCTTTATTTCACATTGAGGGGGGGGGGGGGGGATATTCAACCCATGAGAGAAGAACTAACTTACTCATTAAGATATCAAATATGTTCTGTTTATTTCATACAAAGATATTGGCTTCCACGAACAAATACACTATCTCTCCAAAACTGTGTTGCCAACTTGTGTTGCATGTCAATGGATGATGCTCATAGTTTGTTATGTTCTGCAGTGAATTCCCGCCAATATTACCAAATATTTTGATGTGTTTTGTTTATGACCTTGAATGCGTGATTTTTAGCCATCGTGATATTGCATGGAAGACAATAGAAATAAAGTCAAGATTGTATCATTTCAGACATAAACGTGTTTAAAAAACATGTTTTTCTTGAATATTCACATGTATTTTCAGTGTTTCCATTTGAAATGAGATTTTATCAAACCAGTTCTCCAGTTATCAGATCAGTATACAGAATGTAGGTGGTCAATGACTTTTTAAAGTTTCATAGAAACTGTTTGTCTTTGCTTTTAGTTTTTAAACAATTACTAACGAATGACATTTTTTTAATAAACTTACACCATAACTCAAAGCATCATGTTGTTTGTTTGTCAACAGATCATTAGGGACTAGAGTCATCCATGAAGTCATTATTTGAAAATCTTTCCGAAATCAATGGGAAAAATATGGTGTAACTACAAGTTACCTGAGATCTATATATTCGGCTTTGTGACATTTCTAAAGAAAGTTCCAATTGGGAGCTACTCGGGAATGGTTGCTAGAACAACAAGGGGCATTATCTCAAGGCTTTTCGTGAGTGCATTTTTCGAAATGATGTTAAATCCGTTTGATTTCTTAATGAGGATTTGAAACCACAAACAGGACAATAAAAAACATCTACTCCTTGATTAAATTACAAAATATGTTCATCGTATCTTAAATCGGTTAGTTAGGCACCTATTTCAGCATGTTGAAAGTAATCCAGAGTTTCAGTGGTTTCGTTGGCAGTCGTGCTGATACAGTTGTTGTTACGTGTATGCGTTAAACAAATGTAAACTTATAACCGTGACATTGTTAAATGAAAAGATAAACTTTGCCGATCGTAGATTTTAAAACCCGTACGTCTGCATAATAAAAACCTGACTATACAGCTGATACCCGAGTTAAAGGACAGCCTATTCTGTCTTTGCGTATTGCAGAGTTATCTTCTCTTGTGAGCAAGGATTGATTGTTACGTCATTGGTTTGTGTGAGAAAATTAAGTCGTTTTCTCAAAAATTGATGACGTTACTCTCACAAACAAATGACGTAACAATCAATACCTGCTCACAAGAGCAGATAACTCTGCAATACGAAAAGACAGAATAGGTATCTTACATGATTTTTCTTGGCCCGTATCCATGAAACTGTTCTCACACTCGAGCATGATTTCTGTGCTCAAGTCAACTTTCTTGTAACCTGCTTAAATCATGTAACATGGTCAAAAAGTCAAGTGTAAACAGTAAACGGCTTAAATTCTTTCATAAATTCTAAGATATCATTGACGAGATATGATTTTTTAATTTGTTTGTCACTGACAAAAGAAATTCGGTTTGAGCACAGACTCTGGGTTTGAGCACGAAAACGGTTTCATGAATACGGGTCCTGACTTAATCGATACAATGTACATACATGGCAAACTATTCAGTCCAACTTATTGTCAGTAAAGACATGTTAAGCCTTAGCGCTAAACTGAGTTTACCACATCAATGTCTAGAGGTTTCATTTAACAACTTACCACTGATGTCTGCCCAGTACATCGGGCCACATGTAAGTTTAGAGTTGCTGTGCATATATCATGTCAATGTTCAAACTTGAATAGGTGCTTCAGAGGTGCTAAATTCACATTACTGCTAAGTTGTGCGCATTTATGCGTAATTATAACAATAGGTCTAGCTGTCGTCCTAATTGAATGTTGCAATGCTATATTAATCTGTGACAAAATATTGACAAAATGTGTTATTGACATAGGTATACGTCTGGAACTTTTTTCATGAAACCGTTCTCATACTTGCTCAAACCAACTTTCTTATATCTTGTTTAATTCACGAGGCACGATCAAAAAGTTAAGTGCAATGAATTTAAAACATATTTGGCTAAAAGTCTCTCCAACGTTCGTCAGAGTCAATTGACACAATGTTCAGGTTTTCTCAGTAATTTATCAGCAAAACAAGACATAAAGTAAAGCTTGAGAACAAAATTTTAGTTTGCGAAAGAAAATAGTTACACGACTAGCGGTATTGGTAACTCATTGAGCATTGGATATATTCTAGAGTACACATTAAACCTCAATTTTATACTGGAGCTATCTTTCTTTGAAAAGTTTTCTCCATTAATTACACCAACCAAAGTGTTAAAAAAACTTGTTTGATTTAATGTAAAAAAAAAATGACTTCTTGTTTTATATCCCCTGGACAAGATTTCACTAAACTGAGGTCACTCTTTTCGTTAATTTAAACTTAAATCCCAAGTAGAACAAATTAATCGGTAAGGAAGGAAAAAATCACTATGACATATATATGTAGTAATTTTGTAATAATGTAGATTACTTACTTACTTCGGCTGAGTTCACATCTTATAGATGTGTTGTATGTGTGAAGGTGTGTGTGACATGTAGGCATGTGGGTATGCAAGTATGTATAAGCTTGAGTAGATGTTTACATATTTAAATATTATACATGACCCGAAGTAATCATTCTACTCTCTGAATATTGTTTAATACTACATACCATCAATGCTAAATCTATTTCTCTTTATATATATACATTATTATCTATGATATCTATTATTTACTTTATTCACTTGGACTTGGTACCTATTGGAGAGGACTTATATAGGCTGGCCTGTTGTCCAATCCATCTGTTTTTTAAACAAACAAAAAAATGAATGAAATGAAGGAAAAGGTTTTTGGAAGATTTATATCCATTTCTCTTTTTGAGCCCCGCCCCTTTGCCCACAGGGTTTGGTTTGGTTTGGTTTGGTTTTGATTAACGTTCTATTAACAGCTAAGGTAATAGGATGTCTAGACCAAATTTGTTTAAAATTCACTAAAGTGTTAAGGACTAGTAATGTTCCAAAGGAAAGAGTTTACGGACGACAGACGACGGACAACGGACGCTTCGCCACGGCACAGACTCACTTCGCCATTTGGACAAGGTGAGCTAAAAACATATTGCGTCCCCGTGTAGGCTTCATCAATCTGTACTTGGATATCTTCAATATCTTATATGGTTTAATAAAAGGACATCGAAATAAAACAGAAGCAGCTTTTGCACTGGTACACATTCATTTAATAAAAACAGAATTACACGAACCCTCTCGTGGACGCATTATATATAAAACTTTGTCATACAGTGTATTTCCATTGAAAAGCATGCAGATTATGATAAACATCTTCGGCATACTTTACATTTTCTAATATTAACATAGATATTTAAAGATGGAATTATACAGAAAGTATATTATATCCTTTCTTTAAAACAACATTTCCATACATCTCCCCAGGGTTATAGGCACGGACTTAGATAGTTAATTCCGTAGTATAGGTCATTTTTACTGTGTTCTAGATATATTGAAAATGAATTGATGAATAAACCTGAATGCTGAACGCCATAGATTTTAAATACAAATGAAGAAAGTTTCATGCTAAAATGTATATAGAGATGCTTAGATACATATTTATAGTGAATCAAGGCTACTGGAAAATATACTCAATTTGGATTGTCCATCAGTGTAATGTATATTTAAAATGACGAGCGAAACGCACGCCTGGCCCGTCGGCATTTTGGATGTCCGGTAATAAGCACAAATGAAATTTCGCCCTTTATGGCATAATAAAACAATGTGTTTTCTTGTTTATGTTTGTTCGGAGTTTTCTTCAAATACAGATAAAAAAAACAGGTTTATTTCAACTTTACGGTACCCCGGACAAAACCATGTCATAATAAAAAATTGTCTCACATATTTGTTATGAAATCCACCAGAGATCAATAGAAACAAGTTTCGTCCATTCGTCACAATTACATTCCGGTTCCATATGATAACTACACAGAAAAAGGTTCACCCAGTCGAAACCTGCATGGAGGGTGCTTAACTTCCAAAACCTAACCATCGAGTTTAGATGCTTTTGTTAACATCACACAGGAAATATAGATTCTATTAGTCAATTATAAAATATAATTATTTATCTTTTCTAATTAATAGGATCATTTCTGGCAATCCAGGTATATTTTCTGAAATGGAGTTCATTCTCAAAATCCCCATATACTATATTATAACTCAAAAAAGACGAGAAAATAGCATCTGGGTTAATGATGTCCCTTCCGCGACCTCTCTTAAATTCAACATTGAAATAAAAAAAAAATCTGTCATTTAATGCTCTTGATAAGTGACAGCAACGACAATGCCCTGATTAGACCCTACGGAAACACTTGACAGATCTACATCCTGTCCGACTTGGATCGAATCGTCCGTCGTTATAGCAACTTTTCCTTTGGTGGAGAACACTGGACCGGAGGAAAAGTCATGTGTTACACTCTTGGAACCAAGATTGATTACGACTAGGTGCGTCTGCCAGCCCTCTGCATTTCGTACATAAGATAGAATATCAGAAGTCACTACTGCAAATTCGAGAGTATTGGTCTCAAATGACGGGTGCCTCCTGGTCTCGATCAGATTTTTATACAATTGCAAAATCCCACTAGCGTTTGCCTTTAGCACCTGAAATATAATCAACAGTAACAGGGTATATATGAACAACTTAAACCACCTTATTGTATAGAAACAAAACAGAAAATTGAGACAACAATATATCATATAGTGAACAAAATTCATACCTTTGCAAGTTCGACTCTTTTATTTGAAATTTAATTAAAATGAATTTTAAATCGTTTTCTATTTATACCTCTACTGCAAAAAAATTGTCCAAGTGCGTTATATTTGTGGACTTAATACACATAATTTATTTATTATTCAGCTCCAATATTTATTTAGACGATGTCAGACGATGCTGCAAAGGACTACAGCGATGTCTGTTCCTAGAAATTATTCACGATATTTTCTGAAATGATCACTTAAACGGACAGGTTAATCAGAAAACAGTGGACTACAAAAGCAAAGTGATGCCCCTACCTGTACATTAACTGTGGCATATTCCGAACTCAGATGCAGCCACGGTGTTACGGATTGATTAGTAAACCCAGCTTTCACACCGGACGTCCATTGCATGGGCGAACGTTCAGGATCCCTAGTCTTACTCAGATATCCGTCCTTCAATATCGAAATATACATACATAGTAGTTTATATTAGTTTGTACTGTTTACAAAGTGACTACTATCTTAATAGGTAGGGATGCAGGTGAAGATATGAACAACAGTTTAATTTTCAGAGTTGTTTTTACACTGTACACTGATAATTGTGAAATACATAAATACATATTCATTAAGTATATCTTAAAGATCCCCGTTCCTTTGTGGGAGGGGTGATCGAAAGTCCAGTTTTTGATTTTTGTTTTTATATATTTCATCTTTATTTTTTTAGGGCCCACAAAGGTTAGTTTTTCAGACATGATTTATTAAAGCCGGTGTCATGACGGAAAATGATATCCGATTAAAGTTCAAGGTTTTTGCTTTGGTTTCGGGATCCTTAACTAACAGCTATAACATGGAGAGACGGGTAAACAATGGTGAGCTGACGACATTTTGATAATGGACTTTTTGGGTCTAGCCCACAATCCACAGATTAAACTTGACATATCATTGCAATTAGTCAGATGTTGTTCACAAACAACATCGTTCTGAGTTGGCAAACAAATATTGTCACCTCACTTTTCTTTGTGGAGTTCTAATATTAAACTGACCAATGTTCGGAACAGCAGCACGAATGTCTCATATTTCCAAGTTGACGTTATATTGTTTCCTACTCAACTTTTTGAGTTGGAGTTCAAATATCTCCCTACTGAACTCTTAGAGCCTCTGCACAAATTAATACCTACTCAACTTAAGAGTCTCTGCACAAATTAATATCTACTCAACTCTTAGATTCTCTGCACAAATTAATACCTACTCAACTCTTAGATTCTCTGCACAAATTGATACCTACCCAATTCTTAGAGTCCCTGCACACATTAATACCTACTCAACTCTAAGATTCTCTGCACAAATTAATACCTACTTAATTCTTAGAGTCCCTGCACAAATTAATACCTTCTCAACTATAAGAGCCTCTGTACACATTATTACTTACTCAACTCATACAGCCACTGCATTAATCAATACCTACTCAGCTCTTAAAGTCACTGTACAAATTAAAACCTACTGAACTCTTAGAGCCTCTGCACAAACTAATACCTACTCAACTCTTAGAGCCTTTGGCAAATATTGTACATACTCAACTCTTAGAATCTTTACACAAATTAATACCTTCTCAATTATAAGAGCCTCTGTACACATTATAACCTACTCAACTCATACAGCCACTGCATTAATTAATACCTACTCAGCTCTTAAAGGCACTGTACAAATTAAAACCTACTGAACTCTTAGAGCCTCTGCACAAACTAATACCTACTCAGCTCTTAAAGTCACTGTACAAATTAAAACCTACTGAACTCTTAGAGCCTCTGCACAAACTAATACATACTCAACTCTTAGAATCTTTGCACAAATTAATACCTACTCAATTCTTAGAGCCCCTGCACAAATTAATACCTACTCAATTCTTAGAGTCCCTGCACACATTAATACCTTCTCAACTCTTAGAGCCTTTGCGCAAATGAATACCTACTCAACTCTTAGAGCCTTTGCGCAAATTAATACTTTCTCAACTCTCCGATTTACAGTCAGAATGTATCCCTGATTACCTTTCCAAGTCGGAGTCCAAATGTGTCCCGACTCTCGTTGAATGTGTAGTGTACGTCGGTCATGCCTATCTCCTCGCCGTAATAAATGACGGGGGTACCAGGAAGGGTGAGAAGAAGCATGGCCATTGCCCGGGCCCGATTTTCTCCAAGTCTCGTAGCCACCCGCGAGAAGTCGTGACTTCCTGTCTACAATACATTTATTCATGATATTTTAATAAGCGTATTATGAAGTACATTTAACTATAATTATTCGTACAGAAACAGGAATATAGTTTTGTTAGCAAATAATGTACATAATCTTTATATTGTTTTAATATCATGTATGCTTATATTAATTGTCATTTACTTTACACCAATTAACGTTTAATTATTGATACATATAAAATATATCATGTTTTAATATCAACAGTTAGGATTACCTTAGGTTTTAGTAGGCGATGTATTTAAATAACTTTTAGTTTGAATTGATGTCTCAATATTTTCTATTGAATTGTTTGATTATTTGTTTGTGCCCGCAACCCAGTGGTGAAGGGCTAGTGGTAGCAGAATGTCGGACGCCTTAACCACTTGGCCACCGCGGCCGATTTCCGATTAAATACTTGTGCATTAACAAGTTACATTTGAATAATTATTTCAGACATATGTATGTATATATGTGAAGATGCTTAATACACCACATATGTGTGTTTTACTCTTAAACATCTTGGCGTCGGTACAGGTGGATATCTTCTCCTAGGTGATACTATGGATTGTATCTTACTAAGAAATTCGGCCAGTCGTCTGACCGTAGTGTCTCTTTAGTGTACTCTTTGATGACGTCTCTCATGCACGATCCATCGCACGTTCTGTTAACTTTCTTGACCAGGTCAAAGTTGAATGGTATCGTGCCGGCATCGTAGTATTTCTTGACAATGTCTTTGTCAACGGAAGTGGTCTCCGAAAACATGACCCTATAGATGAGATATGACAAAATAATTATGCACAGCCTTGTACATAGTAAGAAATCACTGATTGCACCTTATTTTTAAAAATCTTTTTACTTTCATCTTATTAATATACATTATATACCCAATATCATATAAAGATAATAAGATTTCGTTAAAATGATTATTTCTAGACATATGGTGCTGAATACATTTCATTTGTATTCTTGGTCTAAGAGTTATCTTCCTTCTAAGTAAATTTAGAATATCAATATATATAGTCGACATTTGTGTTGCCATGACAGTAAGATTTAGTTGGTGCTATATCATTGGTTTATTCAGGCCACAAAGCAATTATCAGATATGTTTTTACAGAGCAGCACAGATTACACAGTTACTTAATCAGGTCTCAAGACGTTATATAGATGGCCATACCTGAAATAAAATATAATTGCAACCCTTGTATAACTATCAGCAAAAAAAGTTATTTTGATATGTTTCCATTTCCAATCCATTTTCCTTAATGAGCATAACAATAAGAAATTGCGTTCATAGCCCTATGAACGCAATTGGATCAGCTCCATTTGAAGCCTCTACTCCCGCCTCGAATAACATGAAACATTTTGATGATGTTAGGCTGTCCCAAGAATCTCGTTTGCACTGTCGACATTAACACTTCAATATCGGAAATATAAGGTAATATCTGTATTCAGATCAATTATGAGTAAAAAAATTAGAATGTAAATATAAGGATTGAACGGCATTTTGTCAATGTTCATTCCGGTATTAAAGCAAATCTGTTTACATTTTTTTTTTAACACGAAGCCCGCTTACATGGAATATGTATGTAACCGATTTGCGTTCATGCCGTTCAATCCTTATATCGAAGTCATTAATACAATGAGGTTCTGAAACATCCCGAAACAAACTTTCTGATAATGACTACATTAGATTGCTTTTCTTCTCAAGTTAACATGTGTGCTTCACATGTTTCATTTAAATTAATTTATGACACATATTCGTGGTGATATGTGAATATATCTTACCTTGGCGGGTCACTGTATGTGTCTAGTAATTTCTTCCAACCTTGAATTACAGGAAAAATCTCGGGTAAATTCACAGTTTCGTTTTGTATCGTTTTACCATCTTCTTCCTGTGTTAAAACGAATTTCGATTGAATGCGGTATTTTGAAATTCCTGTTTATCTCAGAAATGTTACGGAAACGGAAACATTGAATACCTTATACTGAGTCAAAGAATAATGGACGTTTTTATAAACAGCATTTATAAAACTGATAGAGTCAAACAATGATAGATAGACGTACAATGTGTATACACAGCTAATATAACTAGACAATAATATACAGACGTTAAATGTGTATATACAGCTAATATAGTTACATGTAAGCAATGATATGCAGCCGTAAAATGTTTATATATATACAGCTAATATAGTTAAGCAATGGTATATAGACGTAAAATGTGCTGATACAGCTTATATAGTTAAACCATGTTATACAGACGTAATATATATATATACAGCTTATATAGTTAAGCAATGATATGCAAACATAAAATGTTTATATACAGCTTATATAGTTAAACCATGTTATACAGACGTAAAATATGTATATACAGCTAATATAGTTAGACAATGATATACAGACGTAAATGTTTATATATATATACAGCTAATATAGTGATTTAATGATATACAGACGTAAATGTTTATATATATATACACAGCTATTATAGTTAGTTAATGATATACAGACGTAAATGTTTATATATATATGTACAGCTTATATAGTTAATTAATGATATATAGACGTTAATGTTTATATATACATACAGCTAATATAGTTAATTAATGATATACACACGTAAATGTTTATATATATATATACAGCTAATATAGTTAATTAATGATATACAAACGTAAATGTTTATATATATATACTCAGCTAATATAGTTAATTAATGATAAAAAGACGTAAATGTTTATATATATATAGCTAATATAGTTAATTAATGATATGTAGACGTTAATGTTTATATATATATACAGCTAATATAGTTATTTAATTATATACAGACGTAAATGTATATATATATACAGCTAATATAGTGATTTAATGATATACAGACGTAAATGTTTATATATATATCCAGCTAATATAGTTAATTAATGATATATAGACGTAAATGTTTAAATATTTACACAGCTAATATAGTTAATTAATGATAAACAGACGTAAATGTTTATATATATATCCAGCTAATATAGTTAATTAATGATATATAGACGTAAATGTTTATATATATATATACAGCTAATATAGTGATTTAATGATATACAGACGTAAATGTTTATATATATATCCAGCTAATATAGTTAATTAATGATATGTAGACGTTAATGTTTATATATATATACAGCTAATATAGGTAATTAATGATATACAAACGTAAATGTTTATATATATATACAGCTAATATAGGTAATTAATGATATACAGACGTAAATGTTTATATATCTATACAGCTAATATAGTTAATTAATGATATGTAGACGTTAATGTTTATATATATATACAGCTAATATAGTTATTTAATGATATACAGACGTAAATGTTTATATATATATACACAGCTAATATAGTTAATTAATGATATATAGACGTTAATGTTTATATATATATACAGCTAATATAGTTAATTAATGATATATAGACGTAAATGTTTATATATTTACACAGCTAATATAGTTAATTAATGATAAACAGACGTAAATGTTTATATATATATACACAGCTAATATAGTTAGTTAATGATATATAGACGTAAATGTTTATATATATATACACAGCTTATACAGTTAGTTAATGATATACAGACGTAAATGTTTATATATATATACACAGCTAATATAGTTAGTTAATGATATACAGACGTAAATGTATATATATATATATAGCTAATATAGTTAATTAATGATATATAGACGTAAATGTTTATATATATATACACAGCTTATACAGTTAGTTAATGATATACAGACGTAAATGTTTATATATATATATAGCTAATAAACACTTGACATGTTGTTCAATACAAATAACAGAGCACTAAACAAAAGTGAACCGTGTGTAAAACTACACTTATAACAGGCTGCCGAACAACAATGCACAATCTGTATCATTGTCTTTCTTTGTATTTCATGATAAGTATTACTGTCTCTTTGTTTTATAGTGTGTCAATGTAAAGTAATAGAGAATCATATACGACAACAAGATATCTGTATATGAATATACATTACACGTGTGTATTTCCAAATAATTGTACAGCAAATTTAGCTTATCTTAATCAATCACGAGCCTCATACGAAGCCAATAGTTTTCACGAACATATCAGCACAGTATCAAATATACACCATTGTTAGGAATTCTATTTATCCGTGTGTTATAATTACCACTTGATCATGAAGATTTTCACTTTCAAACAGGTGGACAACAGCATCTATCCGGAACCCGGCCACTCCCTTGTCCAACCAAAACCTCATCACATCCTATAGCAAAGAAGGAAAACACAATTAAAATCTACTCACTTGAACAAACATTCACGTACATGATTGGATATTTATTTATCTTGGATATATGAGACAGGTGGTCAAGAAGCACCAAATGCTTACAACAGACCGAGACTCGGGTAAATCAGGTAAATTATCTTCATACCTCCATGTCTACGTGTTATCATATTCCCGAGACTGAAGGCATAGCCATGTTAATGCTTAAACTATAGCCTCTCTTACAAAATGTATTGATACCTTGCCTATATCTTATACCCCTTGTCTAGGCACATTATGTTTGAGATAGAAGACTGAATATTTGTTTGTTTCCCACTACTTGATCGTAATATGCGGCTCATGTAACATCTTTCAAATCGATTGTTATATATAACTCTAGTATACTCTCTGCTGAAGGAGCTTCGCAGATCCCATGGGTGGGTTACGCTCACTTTCGCCCTCTGCAATCCTGGAATATGTCAAAGCAAAAATGAAGACTCGTTGTGCGCCACCTTGTTGGTGAGACAAGAAGACTAGTTCGATCCTTTGATGTACATCAAAATAGTTTCGCGGTCACATAACGGTAAAAACTGACAGGCTTTGAAGTCGGGTGTCACTCCTATGTAATCTTCAAAGGACAGGTATCAGTCTAGTGATTGGTCAGTTTTATACGGGGGGTGGCATATAGTGTTGCCCATGTCCGTCGCGTCCCGTCCCATCCATGAGCGGGGGCATTTATGTCTAACAGACATTTTCTAGTTTTTCTTTGAAACCAATCAAACAGCTGTCTTCGTGCCTTCAATTTTGCTATGACATATTCTAGGATCGACAGTGAGCGTAATTATAACCCCTGGATATTTAGGATGAGCCCATCAATGACCTGTAAATTATACTACTCGGTATATACATTGTATCTTCCTCCTCTCTTGCACTGGGGTTTCGTTAGTATTTCGACGGATATCAGTCACAGATAGTAAATACTCCTAACTTATATACATATTGCCGTTGTACGTTATCGTATTCATGCACAAGTAATGCTTATAATAATAATGTACTCAATTTGATATAGCGCCCATATGTAGCTAGAATAAACCACTCTAAAGCGCTTTACAGTACAAATATTATATAAAGTTATACAATTAGTATATACATTAATCAATACAATTTTTAGAAATTCGTAGGAGCTGCCTTATCAGGCGCTAACTACTAGTCCTATGCCACCTGGCTAATATCTCCCTATGCGTGTGTGCCTGCGTGTGTGCTGGAGATGTATTGTGTTCTGTTTGTAGTTGGACCGTGCTTTCAACGGGATCATTCATAGTGCCATCTCACTTGAAATGCTACAGCACAGATACCGCAATATCCACCCCAGACCAGTTTATGCTCCACCTGGGTTGTTGGAGTTGTGCTTACTCCTATGTACCTGGATAACAGATATGACGTTGGGATTCCTGTAGTTGAGGTCTGGTTGTTCTATGAGGTAATTGTGATAGTAGTACTGTTGTCTCTTATCACTCCACGTCCAGGCGGAATTGCCAATGGTGTTTTTCTAAAAAAGAAAATTGTTAGTTAATAACAAGGCGTTATATCGGACATTTTGTTTCAATGAATAAATGAATAAACATCCTTAAGCAATGAATAGCAAGTATGTATTCAAAACATTAATTCATGATTTTTATTAACTCTTGTTTTCGCTATCAAATAAACAAAGACGATAAATGCAATAAATCGATAAAGAAACCAACGTGATTGTCACAGACAGTATTTCACTGCCATGGCCGATTCGATAATGCATCAACAACGACCTTAACCCTTACCCAGTTGTTAGGGGGCGTGCCGGATGTGCCGTTTACCCACACGTAGAAATCATCGTAACCTTCCTCCCTGTTCTCGCTGTCTACGAACCATTCACTCTCGTTACTTGTATGGTTAGGCACAAAGTCAATTATCACCTTGATATCTGAAATATCATTAAATAACTTCAATATGCGAATAGATTGCTAAGGACTTTTCCCCTATGTGAATCATGTTTTATGCACTGTATTATAAGAAGCACTATTTATTTACGATATTTGTTATTTCATTTCATTTTTATAAACGATAAGCATTATTTGATATATTAATCAGAATTACACGGAGACCTACTCCATTAACACGCAACGCTTGCAGTGCATAAAAAGTGTTTTTGAACGTGTGCAATTTTTCAATTTTGAAGAGATAATGAAATCTTTAAAATGTCATGGATATATTGATATAACTGAAAAGCTAAAAATGCTTTCAATTTTTTATATCTAAAAATGTTTTCAATAAATACTCATGCCGCCGTGTTAAGGCTAGCCCTGTTTCGCTGTATGATCTGTTCATCATTATTGTTCATTTAGACAATATTTCTTTTAAATGTTTATGATCTTTGGAAGGTTTTCCTTTTATCATGCATCTTTTATGTCGTGAAATATGATATGTGCATGCAAGGTTCAGTACCTACAAGTTATAATTAATATAATATATACCAGGACTTACTGTTTGTCTCTTGTAAATACTAATACCATATATACTGCTTTGAATCCCATCCCGGCGGCAGTACAGAATAACTGCACAGTACTTACCCAGGGTGACTCTATAATACTGTAAATGTCTTTTTTTTTTTTTTTTTACAAACAACTGTATCATACCTTTAGTTATACTGAGCTATACTAGTAGTTTTGTGGTGTTAATCTTGCCTTTTTTCTTTGCCTCTTCCAGAAGACGGTCGAAATCGTCCATTGTTCCGAACCGAGGGTCGACTTCTGTGTAATTACTGATATCATAGCCGGAATCTTTCATTGGAGACTTGTAGAATGGGCTGATCCATACTGCCTTTATCCCGAGGTAGGACAGGTACGACAACTTCTCTGTTATACCTGTACACATGAACACAACAAAGAACAACTTAATCAGAAGATCAGTGAACAGTATAAATCAGTTTTCCGTATGTTCCATTTTGTCTTTTTTGCCTATATAAGTAGGGGGCCGCGGTGGCCAAGTGGTTACGGCGTCTGACATTCTGCTGCCACTAGCCCTCCGAGGACCACTGGGTCGAGGGTTCGAGAGTCGTCAGATACTGGCTGTAGGTCTGTGGTTTTTCCCCGGTAACTCCATACTCGATATCCACGGTTTACGCTCAATTTCGCTTTATTCTCTACACTGTATTGTTTATGAGAAAATAACAATTGTCATTGTCTCTAAACCCCTGGCATATATCATAGCAAGGCACGAAGAGAGCTGTTTGATTGGTCTCGGGTAAAAAAAAACGACCAATCGCTAGGATGATACATGTCCTTTGAAAATTACAAAGAAGAAACGCCCGAATTAAAAGCCTGTCCATTTTAACCGTTACGTGACCGCGAGATTCTTTTATGTACACCAAAGGATCGAACTAGCTTACTTGTCTTATTGACAAGGTGGCGCACGTCGAGTCTTCAATTTTGCTATGACATATATAGTCCAGGGGTGCAGAGAGCGAAAGTGAACGTAACCCCTGGATACCGAGGATGCGGGAACTCCGGCTTTCCTCCACCACCAAAACCTGACACGTCCTTAAATGACCATAGCTGTTAATAGGCCGTAAAACACAAACAAACCAAACCAATGCCTATGTAAGTTATATCGGCAAAAAGGACAAACGGGAAAAGTCACTAACTAAGATTCACTGCAGGTTCGAAAAGACATGAAATCAGTTACTATTGTTCCATAAACTAGAGCTATCACAGGTTAATAATTGTTTTGAAAATGAAATTTGTATCCACTGATCAGACTAATGTATGAATTACTTATGAACTTCCACAGACATATAGTGTTACTGTGTAAATAGAAGGAATGGTTTTCTTATTTGATCGGGTTATGAGGATATATATTGTATTTCCTGCTGTGTACTCGGCTCCCTTTGTTCCCTGAAATATCTCTCTAAAAATACCTCTGATCATATAAGCTAGATGTCTGGAAAATCTGACTGGGTGTGTAGTGTCATGTTATCGTTTCCAGGTTTTGATTTAATCATACACTGTCTGTATTTAATTTGCAAAAATACAAATGGGATTAGACACACGTTAACAAACTACAAAAAAAACCTCTTTTCCCTTTCGGACATTTCAGTGTGATGACACTATAAAATGTAAATATCACTAGTGTAACGTGTGCCATAAAACCAATTGATAATGTGACCAGTGGCAGCGGTGTTGACGTTAGTTGTTGATTGGTCACATCAACAGTGGACACTCTCGTCATATGATGTTAGTTGTCGATTGGTCACATCCACAATGGACAATCTCGTCATATGACGTTAGGTCTTGATTGGTCACATCAACAGTTGACAATCCCGTCATATGACGTTAGGTATTGATTGGTCACATCAACAATGGACACTCTCGTAATATGATATTAATTGCTGATTGGTCACATCAACAGTGAACAATCCCCCCGACATATGACATAAGTAATTGCGACAATGTTATTCCAAAACAAAAATACTTTTGACGGTTTTATATAATGTATAGTCTCCTTTTGAACGGTTAGAATTTGGACGCTTATTTTCGATGTTGTTACATTGCTTTATCCTTTCGTTTTCACCAGACTTGAATATTGATTTCGAAATGATTTAATACGCATAATAATTAATTGTCTTAAAATTTAGATTTTGTTTTAGGGATATCTTAAAATAGTTTTTTGGTCTGACGATACTGGTCAATGTGGACACCTACCATTGAGATCGCCGTCTCCGTCCCCGTTGGTGTCCTTGAATGACCTTGGGTAGATCTGATAGACGGGTGTCGTCTTCCACCACTGTAGGTCGGACGTATCGTATTGAACCCTTTTCCGAACGTCTCCCGTAAAAGTGACAACACATAGTACAGCCACACTGACCAGCAAAAAAGCGAACACTATTACGCTACAGCGGGTCTTCGAGCAGCAGTGCTCCTTAGGGTCACCTTCCGCGTCCATCTTTACACCACAGCACTAGAAGCTACTTATACTCCTATTGAAGAGTAAAACGTATTGCGTTATTTACTCTCCAACTACTTGATTATTAGATCCGTCGGATAAATACAACAAACCTGTTCACCTTTTACGTTCTAAATAACATGGTTGTACCCTAGACATTCTCGTGTTGGTACCGAGATAACTATTCGGTCGCTCAAACTATCAGTTTTATATCTTTACCTTGCATTTGTCCAAACATGTCAAGCTTAACGACCCCGGCATATAACGTTTCTAGGTATGGACTCTTGGTTATCAGTATATAGCTTATAGTGTATATTCATTTACGTCTATCTGGGCAAAGATAAATCTTTCTCGAGTAAATAGAGTACGGTGTTTTGAACATGAAGCCGACGAAAACACAACAGTATGGAAACGTGTATATCAGTCACAAGACTCTAAAGATTGGATCATGTAATACTGAAGTAACTGGATTTATCTGCGTGCAATAAAAGTCTGCCGTGGAGATCAACATCCTATCATAAGTGACTATCATCCAGTGAAATAGGGGAATTGAGCTTGGGGGGAGGGGTCCAAATGAGCTTAGGGGGAGGGGTCCAATTGAGCTTTG